ACCCACACCCCCTAATGAGCGCGCTTCGCGCACTCTTTGAGTGATTCGCCTGCTCATTACCGCCCCTCCCTAAAATGAGATCCTAGCTCCGCGCCTGCATTAAAATATATAGCTATGATGCTGACTAAGTTGACGAAATAATTCGTATATTTATGTCGTCGAGGAAAATGACCATTTGCGCATACGCAAGTACTATCGGCCCCGGGTATATAGGGTTACATTTGTAAATATTGGGACATTTAATTTTGTCGGTAATTGGGGGTAGTTTTATCGGTAATCGTTGGCCTCTACACCCCCCCCCCCCCCCCCCCCCCCCCCCCCCCCCCCCCCCACTAAAAAAAGGTCTAGCGACGCCCCTTACCATTATAGATCATTTTCTAAGTGATGGGACTCAAAATAAAGAGTTCACATCTTCCCGACGAAATACTAAATCTTTATGTTACTACTTGAAAGTGTGTCGTCTTATTTCGGAGTTCATTATAATAAAACACTACAGTTTGCAGCTGTCAGTATTTCGAAATATATTATGTCCAATTCTTTTACTTTATGGTTGTCAAATTTGGCATGTGCGTGCATGTATGTATAAATTTATGTACATGTGCTTGGGTATGCGTGGGTGTGTTGTGTGCACTGTAGAGGTCAGAGGCACTGAGGTCTGTGGTCAGTGGTTGTGTGTTTGTGCGTGTGCGATCGCGCGCGCTTGCGTAAATTAGTGTGGGCGTGTGCTCGTACTAGTATGTGATGGCTATCGCCGATCAACACCCCACTCCTCGGTACGGATTTACGCCCCTGGTGATGATAAAGGAAGTTAGACCACTGTCCAACTTAGACTTAGTAGTAATAATAATAATAATAATAATACATATGATTTATAAGGCGCCAAATCCACTTGACAGTCAAATGCTCAAGGCGCAGCTTGTGCAAAAGATGAAATACATACATGATACATTTATACAAAGTGCGATAGGAAAGGTACAGACATGAAAGGTAATGGTAATCAATTATAAGCTAAATTAAACAGATATTTCTTAAGATTGTTTTTTAACACCTCAGCAGAACTGCTATTCTTAACCCATTGAGGGAGAGTATTCCATAACGAAGGCCCAGCATGAGCGAAGGTTCGTTCCCCCCCCCCCCCCACTTTGTTTTAACCCTAGGAGTAACAAGTAAGCCAGAGTTTTGAGAACGTAGCTGTCTAGAAGGAAAGTAATGCTTAATCAAGCCGATGTTATACTGCGGAGCAGAGCCATGTATACAGTGAAATAATAGCAAAATAATCTTGAAAACAACACGTTTTTCTACGGGCAACCAATGGAGTGATTTGAGGACTGGTGTGATGTGACTGTACTTGTTGGACAGGGTCACGACACGAGCAGCAACATTCTGTAATCTTTGTAATTTTGCGAGTAGGTTGTGAGGCGAACTAAACAAAAGGCCATTACCAAAATCCAAGCGAGAAGAAATCAAAGCATGAGTAATTTTCTCGGTGGCACCACGGTTAAGATATTTACGAATAAAACCCAAATTGCGTAACTGATAACGTACTGATTTTGAGACATATTGAATTTGAGTAGACATTTTCATGTTTGAGTCGAGAAACACACCAAGGTTGCGACATACATTAGATAGGGTAATTTCATGTCCAGCAAGAGTAATTGAAGTGATGGAAGAAATCTTCTCTAACTGAGTCTCAGAACCATACATTATAAATTCGCATTTGGCGAGATTTAATTTCAGTGAATGTGAGTTTAACCAATTATGAACATCTTGTACACAAGTCTCAATGTTATGGATAGCGCTGGCTGCATTGCTCTGATTGGGTTTGAAAGAAGTATATATTTGAATATCATCAGCATAAACATGATAAGAGAGAGAATGGCGATGAAAATACTCTTCAAACCCGTTAAATATAACGAAAAAAGCGTGGGCCCGCCCACAGAGCCTTGTGGAACTCCGCATGTAAGTGGTACAAAATCTGAAAGGTAGCCGTTTATCAAGACAGCTTGAGAATGGCATGACAGGTATGATTTAAACCATTCCAGGGCTTGACCTTTAATACCGAGTGACATGAGGGTATTCACCAGAACAGTGTGGTTAACAGTGTCAAAGGCGGAAGACAAATCAAGGAGTACCATAGCAGTTACTTTTCCGCCATCCATCTCCTGGAGTATAAAGTTGGATACATTAACAAGGAGGGTTTCTACACTGTGGTGGGGACGGTATGCAGATTGAAATGGGTCAAGGAGGTCATTATCGAGACAGTAATCATTTAATCTAGAGAACACCACCCTCTCAAGTATTTTAAATAAAAACGGGAGATTAGAAACTGGACGGTAATTACTTAGTAATTCAGAATCAAGATTGGGTTTCTTCAGTAAAGGAAGAATGTGTGCCGTTTTAAGAACAGAAGGTACGCATGCCTGAACAATACTTAAGTTGACAATCTGTGAGATAACAGATGCAAATGAAGAGGAGCAATCCTTAATGAGAACAGTATAGACAGGGTCTAGTTTACACGACTTAGCTGGCAATCTATGAAGCAGTAATTGTATCTCATCGGAGGTGGTAGGTTGAATCGTCTCGAGGGATGCTGACGTGACAGGATCAGGTGGAGTTAAGTCAGGAGTGAGACTGTCCTGGATCTTCTGAACCTTGGAGCGGAAGAACTGAATAAATCTTTGAGCCAGTTCTTTACTATCAGAATGTCTTGGAAGTGGAGAGTTCTGTTTCCGATTCAAGAGACGATTGGCCGTAGAGAAGAGTTTCTTAGAGTCATGTCCACATTTATCGATTAGCCCGACAAAGTACGAACGTTTGGCTCGTTCGACGAGAGAGTTCATGAAATCTCGTTGCGCACGGAACATCTCTTTGTCAATGTGAAGCTTGCCGTTAGATCGCCATCTCCGCTCAAGCTGCCTACGTTTACGTTTCTCAGCAGTAATCTCGCCGTTGTACCAGGGATTGTCCTGACGGTCTCGAACCTTGCGGATCTTGGCAGGAGCATGAATATCGAGGAGCGAAGAAAGAATGGTGTTGTAGCGACTAGTAGCTGTGTTGACACTCTCTGACGTTAAGGGCATAATGTCGCTCTCAGCAACATCCTTCGCGAAGGCTATCCTGTTTATGTCTTTAATATTACGGGAAGCAAATGTTCTGTCGCTGCGTGCAGGCTTAGTGAAGCGAAGTACACAAGTGATAGCAGCATGATCTGATATACCTGGAACGATACTTGGCTTCGAAATTGACAAATTGTCTGAATTGCGCACCAGAACGACGTCCAGAATGTGACCTTTGTCGTGAGTCGGAGATGTAACCAATTGGGATAGGCCATGACTGTTAATAAAGTCCACAAACCTGAGTGTATGCTGGGATGAAGTGTTATCTAGATGGATGTTTAAATCTCCGGTGATCAAAAGTGGGTATGGTTTGCACAACCTCTCATCAAGAAGCGCAGAGAAGTCGATAAGAAACTGAGTGAAAGACTGGTATCCTGGTGGTCTGTATATGACTATAATGTCAACCTGTGTAGAGCCGCCAGATACAGTTCCAGACATTGATTCAAATGTTTCGAATTTGCCTGTTGGACTAATATCGACGTGGAGACTGTCCCTGTAGAGAAAGCCGACCCCGCCGCCACGTTTAGCAGCTCTGGGATGGTGCTTGAACAGATAACCACGAGGGCAAAGATCAGCAATCACTGCATCGTCTGATGCAGTTAGCCAAGTTTCGCAAACACATGTAAAATCTAAACTATGGTCAATAATAAATTCCTCTAATAAGGTAGATTTATTACGAACAGAACGGCAATTCAACATACCAAGTTTGAGGTTGTTATTAAAAGGATCACGGCCCCCCTTCATACCTCGATGTGTCTTCCGCCCTATGTCATGTCTGTTAATACCTAAAGACATAATCATATTACATAATTTCTCATTCTGTTCACGCCACAGTAGCGAGCATGAACGCGAATTAAAAGAGTGAAGTGTTTTACTGTCATACTTGTATGATATAGAATACCTTGTACTGTTATCGTTATCCGAGGAGGCCGAGTTATGTGTGACAGGGCCTGGGTTCGGATTCACATCGCCAGATAACAATATCAAAATCTGAAAAGTGGATACACTGTTAGCGTATAACTGTACTGGAGCACAAAAATGTTTTCCCTTCAATTTCAACTTCAACGAATATACATCAGGTCTAGCTTCTAAATACATGTAGGGAACATTTTGAACATGTGGATCAGAAACCAGATCAGAAGCATGACACCATTGTTGCATTACATGACACTTACAGTACAACATGACCACACAGCACACAAAAGCTACTGAAGTGGTGAGATTCATTGTAATAGTACAGGTCTATTCAAAGCAAACAAAGAAAGAAAGTCAGCACAGACTTTACGCATGAGTGAACAAACCAACTACACTATGACATGTGTATAACATGGCTTCTACTGTGTACTGTATGTGTGAGTACAACTTCAAGCAATCTCGAAAACTTCACAGAATAAGTACATCAAAAATACTGACCTAAATGCTTCCAAATTTGACTAGTAATATCCAGGATATAAGTATAATGAAATATCAAAAATAGAAATGGAGATGACAAATGAAAACAACAAAATCAGTGATAAATCAGAGAGCAGTGCAGTGTGGGCGGGCAGCCACCAGCGCGCGCAGCCAAAAAAAAAAAAAAAAAAAAAAAAAAAAAAAAAAAAAGTCCATTACTCTAGAAATTCTGAATAATATTTTGGGTTTATAAAACGCTTAAAATATCTACGCTGTCTATAATGTGCTTTTACAACTATCATTAAGTCGGTATCCGGATTCAGGCTTGCAAGTACACAACATAATGTATGCAGTCTATGCACATTCAAGTATTGGAACCACTCCACTACGCTACCTCTACCACTTCTTATATACTGTATACTAATCCTTAAAATCTCAGGATAACAATAACTAGAAAACAATGATTAATATACAGTTAAACTTATGACTTACTCAAGGTTTGAAGTATCCAGTGAACACATTTTATGTTCTCATATCACTTGCTTGAAGGAGAAGAAAAAAGGTTGCTCGTGTACACAAGTGCGTAATATGTTTATGCCTCAAACTGTGTGTAGATCGGATGGAACGTGTGAGTATATTGCGACCATTGTTGAATAGATTCGGTACGCTGCAGTACAATGAAGCATATGATCATTAAATATATATTATCATAAAGCACAAAGCAAGAAGAAGATGCCCTAAAAGTAGTATAATATCGCAGTCCCACCGTCAAACCAACCTTTAACCGAATAATTCTTGGCTATGTGTGGTAATGTCAAATTTTTGTCACGGTCTCGTTTGAATGACTGCATTTATGAGGTAAACAAAAGTCGAATGGTGAGCATTTTTTGACCGAATTGTTTGCATCGAACTGTGTCGGAGATCCCATTCATGCATGACGATATCGTGAAAACAATAATGGAATCTAGCTTTAAAAATGATGACTCAGAACGCTCGGAAACAAGCCCAGTTTCGGAGCTGTATTGCGCAATAGCATATGACGTCACTGCAGGAGCCTCTCCGGTTTAAAATGAGGGTAATTTAGCCATTAAAATGTCTTTAAAAGGGCAAACTGTGATATTAATTTGAGAAAAAAATACATTTATCCGAATAAAAAATATGCACTTGATAATCCCAGTACGTTTCATTTTTGCAATTACAATGAGATCGCAAGATCCATAGTTGTAGGACAAATCGGACATGCCCGGCCCGCAATGATGTCAAATGCGTCATCAAGCCACGTGACCGTATTACCTTTTTTCAAAAATCGAAGCCGCTAGGTCAAAGGCTACCGACCGATTTTGGACTCGCCGCCCAGTGACCGACTGATCTCCCAGCGACGACCGGGCAGCGACCGGGTGGCGACTGCCCCACAGCCTTTGACCTAGCGGCTTCGATTTTTGACCTAAATCGCCCGACGGTGAACGCTCGATTAGGTCGGCGACCGGGCCGCGACCGGGCGGTGACCGCCCGGCCACCGAGCGTAGGCTGGGCGGCGAGTGAATTTTAACTCCGCGCTAAAACTTCAGCAGCGACCGAGCGATGCCTTAAAAACGAGCGGTGCCTGGGCGGCCGCCGCTCGGTGGCCGCGCAAAATTGGCTAAAAACTCGCCGCTCGGCCGGCGAGCAGGCTATTTTGGGGTAATGTGACCATGGCATCAATTGGGTTAGAGTGGCCCTTTAAATAACTTGTAAAAATATCTTGCTTCTCCAATCATTCTCCAGTTAATAGCGAGTTTTCGCTCAGCTAAGGACAGACCTTCTACGACGCAGGACTGCCAGGAGCGTCTCAGGGTTACGGACGTCGCACACAGACCGCCCTCGTTACAATTAGCGGTTTCGCTTTTCGGTGAACGCGTACGTATAGTACGGAGGTGCAATCCCCCCCCCCCCCCTCACTTAGTATAATTTAGGGTACGCACATGCATGTTCCCTCCTTTTTAAAACACCCCTCTAAGTCCGGTGTGTAAATTCAATACGGGCCGGATTTTTGTGTACTACGAGCTGGACTTTGGTGCGTGAAAAGTAGCCCTTTACCGGACAATTTGGTAACACGCATGCGGTCCCTCCGACCCCGGAGTGGAGGGGCCGGGATTGTAATGCAATGCCAATAGGCGATTTTCGTAATGTAACCAAATTTATTGCATACGTCTCTGTGATTTAGTGCCTCGATATAAACTTCATTCACCTAATAAGAATAATAGTATTTCAATAGACAAAATCCAAACTGCATACATTAGTAGTTGCCGGGTTTGACAAACATTAGGGAGTTTTCGCAAGCTCAACGCGGACTGAAAATCTGCGGTTCGTGTGCAAAATCGAGAAGCTACTGTAGTAACAGCGGGGTGACCGCTGATGTACTGAAATTCAGAACGGTTATTGCCTAAATCTACGGGCGTTCTCAATGATTTTAGCATTTTAGAATAGTTCTGTTTCAATTTTTTACCATTGTTTTGATCATTCCAAAACCTCACAGTAGACACCAATACTTGTGTTTACAAAATCAATCACATCGCTCCCAGGCAGCTTCTTTCACAATGCAATCGTATGACCAGAACTAAACTCTATCTTTAATCAAAATCAATAATAGTTTCTAACTTGAAATGAAATGGATGACGATGCGAAAGTCGTGTGTTCATAATTTATATAAGTCATAATGACTAAATGACAGCACTGCAAATGAAGATCACTTATGAAAGAACCTTCCTGATACAGTATTACGAAGTAAGAACCAGGGCCATCTACAGTATGGGGTGGGACCTGTTAAGAATACCCCCCACGTATCCTCTGCGTGTCGTGAAAGGCGACTAAAGGGGGACCATTCAGCACCAGGGGGCCGGAGGTGGTACTGGGTGGCACCAGTAGGACCGATAAAAACCTGCATATCAAGACGTTGAATTGGGAAGGCGAGTTTAGGCCTAGCTTGCTCTGCATTGGGCTGCAGCGATGCAGTAGGAGTGTTTCGGCGGAAGATCCTTTAGGACAACGGTTGAACCTCTGATAATATCTGGCGTGCTGGATAATCCCAGATACGGCTAACTACTGCGATGAAGAAGGGAACGGAAAACCCCTTCACTATTCCAAGAACAATCATGATGAACCACAACTCAAAAGCAAAAGACAAAGGCGTGAAGGGGGCTCGTCCAGTGGCGGATCCAGGGGGGCCCGGGGGCCCGCCCCCCCCCCCCCTTGAGAAAAAAATCATGTAAAATCACGTGATTTTTACCTTTTTGGGGGTTGGACCCCCCCCCCCCCCCCCTCTGGCGGTCAAGGAGGGGGTGCAAATGAAAACATTTTCGAGGACCCCCCCCCCCAAAAAAAAGGGTTCACTCCCCCCCCCCCCCCCCCCCCCCCCTCCCCCTAAGAGCGATTTTTCTGCCGGCGCGATTTTCAAATTTTCGGGAGCAAAAAAAAAAAAATTGTGCTAACTATTTTTTCCTCTGACATTTTTACCTCTGACATTTTTTCCTCTGACATTTTTTCCTCTGCCATTTTTACCTCTGACATTTTTTCCTCTGACATTTTTACCTCTGACATTTTTTCCTCTGACATTTTTACCTGGCACCGGAAATTCTTTTAATGATGAAAGATAGACAGAAAATTGGAAATAGACAATGCAAGAAATATAGGGAAATAGACAAACAAATGAGGCAAAAGTGTAATGAGGCAAAAGAGAGTTTGCTAAACGAACAATGTGCAGAAATTGAAAATCAATTCGATAAGAATAGTAATGTTTACCAAAGAATAAATGAAACTTCAGGTAAAAAGTCTGGTTCAAACTCTGGCTGTATCAAAGGAAAAGATGGGTCAATCCTGTTTGAAATGAAGGTCAAAATGAGTAGGTGGACGCAATACATTGGCGAACTTCTTGAAGATAGTAGGGAGGCAATACCGAATTTTGCAGATGAAGTCAAAGGGGAGAAAAATTCTTAAATCTGAAGTCCGCTGGGCAATGTCAAAGATGAAGAAGAACAAAGCAGCACTGAAATGTTTGAAGCATTAGAGGAATATGGTGTTGATAGATTAACAGAAATTATCAACAAAATATATGATGACGGAAAATTTCCAGATGAATTGGGCAGATCCATTTTCATTACTCTCCCAAAGAAACCGGGAGCCGTGGATTGTGAGCAATATATGACAATCAGCATTATTTGCCATATCACTAAGATTATTTTGAGGATTTTGCTTTTAGAGCAAGAAGTACAATAACTCCCATGGTTGGAAGGGAACAGTTTGGTTTTGTAAAGGATGCGGGCACAAGAAATGCGATATTTGTGGTTAGAAATATAACGGAGAGAGCAGTCGAAATGCAAAACGATGTATACATGTGTTTTATTGATTATTTAAAGGCTTTTAATAAAGTAAAACATTCAGAACTTTTTGAAGAACTGAAAAAGCTTGATATATATAGGAAAGATCTAAGACTGCTACAAAGTCTATATTGGAATCAGTTTGCATTCATCAGGGTAGAAGGAGAGTGTAGTGAATATATTAACATCAGACGGGGAGTCAGACAGGGTGTGTTATGTCGCCAGACCTGTTCAATATGTATAGTGAAATCATTTTAAGAGAGTTGGAGGATGAAAATGGGATACAAGTGGGTGGCCATTCAATCACGAATATTAGATATGCTGATGACACTGTCTTATTTTCTGAATCAGAGAAAGATCTCCAGAGGCTCCTAAATGTAGTTGTAAAAGAAAGTGAGAGAATGGGACTAGAGATCAAATACACCAAGACAAAGTGCCAGGTGGTCTCCAAGAAGAGCAGTCCAAAATGTAATTTGAAACTGAAAGAACAGATTATTAAACAAGTCTCCTCATTTAACTACCTCAGTAGCATGATCACCGAGGATGCCAGATGTGAGACAGAGATCAAGAGAAGGATAGCTCTCGCTAAGTCTGCATTTTCAAAGTTAGGCAAAATTCTGACAAATCGAACAATGAGTATGAGGACCAGAATAAGAGTATTGAATTGTTTCATCTACCCAGTACTTATGTATGGTGGTGAAACATGGACTTTAGCCTCTGATACTAGAAAGCGTTTGGAAAGTTGCGAATTGTGGTTTTTAAGAAGAATGATGAAAATCCCCTGGACTGACAAAGTTAGTAATGAGGAAGTTCTTACACGAGCTGGAGTGCAAAGGAAAGTGATGCGTGAGATGTTGATTAGGCAGTTGAAGTTCATGGGTCACATTACACGTAAAGAAGGCCTAGAGAATCTTGCTTTGACAGGGAAAATTGTGGGAAGAAGGAGTGGGTGAAGAAGGAGGATACTTTGGATGGACAGTCTGCATAAATTGTTGGAAGAGAGAGGAGTGAAAGAACAGGGAGTGGTATTAATACACAAGGCTAGGAGCTGAGGGTTGTGGAACGGCATGATCACCAAAGTCAAACGATATGGCACTTAGGGAGAGAGTGTGTATTTTAATAAGCTTTAGCCATATTTATGGCGATAAAAACATTTTGCAAATTGCTCTTAAAATTTTGTTGATTGAAATGTTATCTGCCTCGAGTTTGAAGATATAAGAAGGAATTGCGCCCTAAATACAAGGAAGTTTACTTCCATCATTTATATTTTTCCAATCTATCATATTTGTTTCCTTATTAGTATGGCTTTCAATTCTATCTTGAAGATCCCAAGTGGCCAAGCATCTTGTAAAAAACATGTTTGCGATTTACAGACGAAGGCCTATTTTCTTTTTGCGGCCATGGCATGCTTGGCAGTATTTTCGTTAGAATGGCCAAAAAAGCGTAAATATTGTCAATTCTTTTGATAGAATGCGTAATAAACAGTAATCAAAACAGAACGGAAATATATAATGGCATTGGGCGATCATTTTCCCGAGTCATCATTGAAGATCGAGGGGACATAAGCGTCTGCGCATAATTACACCAGGGGTTCACTTATCGGGCCTACCGTTTCTAAATTTGCGAGGGGTTTAGTATAAACTTTTATAGCCGCTTTTCTAAATGAAATATATCCAATAAGATGTAAACTCAATTGGGGACGAATATTGTTTAACGTGGCTGCGCCCCTCCGCCTCCCCTCCCCTCATCGTTGGTCTTCCGATACTAGGATTCAAACGTTTTTATAAATGAACAGGATTACATGCAACATCGTATAACACCTTTCTGATTCAACCGTTTCTAGATTTGCGAGGGGTTTAGTATATACTTTTATAGCCGCTTTTCTAAATGAAATATATCCAATAAGATGTTAACCCAATTGAGGACGAATATTGTTTAACGTGGCTGCGCCCCTCCGCCTCCCCTCCCCTCTTCGTACGTCTTCCGATACTAGGATATAAAAGTTTTTTACAAATGAACAGGATTAAATGCAACATCTTATAACACTTTTCTGATTTAATCGTCTGCTTCCTATGACAATAGGGACTTTTAGATTCGCACGAAGACAATGGGGATTGCTACGATCGACGTCCTTTTAATGCACTGCCTTGAATGGACGTCACACGTATTAGTCCACGCAAATCTAAAAGTCCCTAATGTATAGCCCAGGAACCCATCGACTACCGAATCTACTTTGCCCACAGGCTCATATACATGCACAGGAACTATCCGGCTTTTATAGGCATCTGCTTCATATTCCTTTAAGGCTTATCTGCCGTAGTTTACAGGAGGGATTAGACTGCCCTGCAAGGTCACTGGACAGGTGGTTATCTCATCAACTCAGCTCTCAGTTAACATAAGAAAAAGAGGATCACGGGGGACCAATGGTCACCGATTAGGCATTGTTTGTTATATAGAGGGCGCAAGTAGCTACAAGTAGTGCAGTGGGCCTTTAAATGCTCTACTGATACAAAAGCATCATCTCAAAAAGGACTTGAATCAAGTGCACTTAGAGTTCCGGCAGTGTGGAGTGGCTAACCCCTTGAGAGCCATTAGGGCGTTAGCTCGGTGTAAAATGACATGTGTCAACACGTTATTTGTCGACCAATTATTGGCGCGAGAACGATAATTTTCAGAATGGGAAGGTAGGTAAGTTGGAACGGAGATCAGAGAATATTAAATGAGTAGATATAGGCCGAAAAATGTACTCATGGATGAATCCAGGGGGCAAAGAGGCTACCCCTATTGAGACAAAACATTATAACTCATTATTTAATTGACTAAAACATCGCGCCCTCGGCCCGCGCCTTTCCACCTTCGGACCATGGAAGGGTCGGCGTATGTAGCAAAAAATCAAATTCGGAGACAACCGTACCTCTTTTATCAACTATCTTTGTACCAGGAGCCCCGCATCCGCCCCAACCCCCCCCCCCCCCCCCCTTTCTCTCTCTCTCTCTCTCTCTTTCTCTCTTATAAGTGTTTCTGCTATAATATGAAATATTAAGTCAACGAGGATTCATTTGAAATTCGTTCTTGAATTTCAATTTCCTTGTTTATATCCTTTTTGAGTATTGCGTTTATTATTACAAATGTAAAACAATATTTGCATAAATATACTGCATTTCCTCCACAAATCACAAGACTGCTGCGTCTTTTCAACGCAGTCCAACTTGGCACAGGGAGTCATTCTGATGTTTGACTCGGCTTTGGTCACATAGTACAACAAGATGGTCACAACAAGATTGCTGAAAATGTATAAACTGGAATATACAGGAGCTATTGCTTTTCTCTTCATTTCGACATTCACATGTTCTTTCGCTGTCGGTAAGTCTCAGGTCTTTTCTGTTATTTCACTAATAGTTTTATGTCGTGATTGTTATAAAGTTTGTGCAGCAGCGGTTTGGATATGCATATAATATATTCATGGAAATTTATTACACCAAAGAAGTTTACTAATAACTTTATATCTCAGGTTTAAAAAAGGAAAGAAACGACATCACTGCAAACACACTTGCTGCACAATGATAATCATTCAATAAAATACAAAGGTAGTCAGTTTCCCCAGTTTTTATGCAAATGTCGCTATGATAAGAAATTGGTCTAATGATCTTTTTCAGAGGCCGTGCGTGCACATGAACTAGGATTTATTAATAATCTCACTATAATTATAATGATTAACAGTAATAATACGTTGCATCGTTAAGGCGCCATACCTAGGTTTTGTTTGCTCCTTTACAAGAATACTACTTGTTGCTTCAAAGCAAGTATGTACCATCTCCACTCCCATGAAACCATTGACAAATTTGCTGCAGGCATAAATGGTAAACATAGGCTGGTCACATTATCATCATTAAAGCTATCTACAATCCCCGGTTATGTCAAGTGGAAAACACTCCGTCCCTCGGATAGGACGTTAAATGGAGGCCCCGTGTACAGGAGAGTCACCACCATTGCACGTTAAGAACCCATTGCACTATTCGTATAAGAGAAGGGGGAAACCCCGGTGTAATGGTCCATCTGCACACCCCAATCAGGCCGAGTATACGGCATCTTCAAGAATCTTCAGTATTGAAGGAGGCAGATTATCTTGAAGAAGAAGAAGAAGGTACCATATATATATATATATATATATATATATATATATATATATATTATTTTTTTTGTTTGGGGAGGGGGAGTGGAGTACAACAGGTGAGCTTGTCAAAACTCAATTGGCATACCTTCAGAACCTACACACACACACACACACACGTACACACACGAAAATGCCTATGACTTATCTTTCAACACTTATCAAAATCCAAATCATCATCAGCATCATCTAGTGTCGTCCCTTCCGAAGGGGTTGGCGGCTATGCACCTCTATCGCTTTCTGTCATGTACTCTTGTTCTAACCTCTCCGTAGTTAAGACCAGTCCATTTCTTGACATCATCAAACCAAGTGATTCGCTGTCTACCCCTTTCTCGTTTACCCTCTACCATTCCTCCCAGCAAGATCTTCTACCATCCTCCTCCTCTCATCACATGACCAACATACACTAGTTTTCTCTTCTGCACTGTGTTAATCAGTTCTCTTTCTCTTGTTTGCTCTATTCAGGAATTCTTTGTTGCTTATTTTCATCACCCAGCTGATTCTTAGCATTCTGCGGAAACACCACATTTCAAATGTTTAAATATCCAATTAAGACCTACATAGGACAAAATAATATGCATTCCTCCATTGTCTTGTTGCTCCCTTCAAAATCAAGACCCAATGAAATGGGACTGAAACTGGATGATCAGAAAACTCTCATTTATCTAATATTCTATTCGTGACCACCTGTGCCAAAATTATCTGTCGAACTATTTTTCATGAGTGTAATTTGTATGACTAGTTGTTGACGCGCCTTGATCGAAAGAGTCGGAAATATGCGCTTTTGATGATAGAAATGTTGAGGTAGATCGGTACTTCACTTCGCTTTTTCCCCCATCCATTCTTTTTAGAACCCTTGAAAACTCGTCTGGTCGGTGGGAGCGGATCTCACGAGGGCCGGGTCGAAGTCCTCTACGACGGAGCCTGGGGTACGGTCTGCGACGACGGATGGGACAGCGCCGATGCCGACGTGGTGTGCCGAAGTTTAGGGTTCGCACGTGCCTCGACATATAACCACAGGGCCGCATTCGGTCAGGGATCGGGGAACATCGTACTCTCTGAAGTCCACTGCAGCAGTGCGGATACCAACCTAGCCTATTGCACGCACAGTGGGTACCTGACGCACACCTGTACGCACCTTGAAGATGCAGGGGTTGTCTGCGTAGGAGCGGGTATGTTATATTCTATGTTCTTTACCGATGAAAAAACACCTATATTTATTTTGATATTTGCTGGTAATTACGGCCTCAAGCACATCAAGCTTCATCTGCTCAACAATCACTTAGTTTTCCTTTACAGCATAAGTATCTACCAAAGAATATTTCTCTATTTTTCAGATATTGATATAATAATCCAAATCTGTTATTTGAATGAATTAACTGAAAAAGAACTAATCGTAAACAGGCATTTATTATGAGACACATTAATTCATTTGATTTGAAATATAGTAATTTCTCCCTGCAGAAGAAAGGAATATAGAAAGAAATTTGTCATGTGGGCCTTTTCCTAAAAGAATTAGGGACATTTTTCCCTTCCCACATCCTTTCTGTTTAAAGTAGCAATTTTCCGGGAGGGGCTTGGCGGCTCAAGCCACCCCCAAAACAAAAATGAATTTAATTGAGGCACAAGTAGAAAATGGATGCACCCCCCCCCCCCTCCAATGATTTTAATAGAGTAATAATAATAATAATAATAATGATGATAACAGAAATCCTATATCTGAGGCTGCCTATTCACCTCCCTATCTCACCCTCTTTATTTCCAGACCCACTTCCTACCCGTCTAGTGGGCGGCAGCGGACCCCACGAGGGCCGCGTCGAGGTCTTTTACGATTCTGCTTGGGGCACCGTGTGCGATGACGGCTGGGACATCAATGACGCCCATGTCGTGTGTCGCACCATGGGTTATGCACGCGCCTCGGCTCACAACCTGAGTGCAGCTTTCGGACAGGGGACCGGTGAGATTATTCTGGATGATGTGTTTTGCATTGGAACAGAACCAAACCTCGCTTTTTGCCAGTATAATGACGATGGTTACAAAGCTCATAATTGCGAACATGACGAGGATGCTGGTGTCATATGTGAAGGACTCGGTGAGTATCATTAACGATTTAGATTATTGTATTAATGCTCAATGATATTTACGATGTATTCCTTCCCTTCCCTCGTCTTACTTTAAATTCGTGGATACCACCATGGCCAATAAACCTATTCTTGATTAATATAATGAAGCCAGGATGACCCTATAGCACAATCTTTGCTTACCGAGTTTACCTCCTTCTATATTTTTTTAATATAGGATTTCCCGGCAAAATTTGCGTGTTTGACATTCGAATTCATTTACTTTGCATTTAAGTTAGCGCAGATCGGCTTTGCCATGCCAATTATCATTCAATTTTCCAGTTTTTGTATTTAATTTAGGATTTTGGTTGAAGGGTTTCATAGATCTGTCATTCAATTCAGAAACTGCTCAACTAGCATTCAAATTAATATTCACTTGTCGAAACGTAATTTTTATCATTCAAATTAACACCTGTCATTCGTATTCGTAATATTTTTATTCAAGTTAGGAATGTTAGGGGGAAGTATTGCAACAAACTTTTACAGTTTTTAAATATTGCAGTTAAAATGCATGATTTGCCATTGGGGTCTAAGCTGTTATTCCATTTATTTATTTTCAGGACAATGCAGATGGGTGTAGTCAGACATAAAGTAAAGAAGGGGTGAAATCAAGGGATGTGGCATTTCTGCACGGACATGTTCATATACCCGGGAAAGGTGGGGGTACCCTCAATCGCCCCTTTTTACTACAGACTCGGAATTTTACAAAAGTAATTCACATCGTCTCTTTTACCCAGGACACCCCTCTGTTTTTCTTAAAGAGTTTCATAGTTAACTTGCCCGCCAGCAGATCGATGGCTAAATAATGAATCATGTTCAAATTGTTGACTCTAGTCCCTACCCCAGTCACAATATTGTACCCTTCTTCCATAATGAAATTATGATGAAATTATGATAAATTTATGATGAAACATAAGACAAACAACTTCCTTACATGAACATTTACAAATATACTGAGACCATCAGGTCCGTAGATGCAAGTCGTTTTTTCCTTCTTAACAATCAAACTTAAATCCTGATGAATATCAGATAAATGTAATAAGTATAAGTGTATAAAGGCAAGAAAATGAAATATGATGAAATACACATGAAAAAACAATATTGAAAGAAAAAGAATGAGCTATAAAAAGTGTGTAATAAACAAGAAATGTATATTGACCATCAATTTAAGTGCACAAAGTGCTAATTTGAATGCTACAAATGAATTAGAATGCTAGAAGTACATCGTCGCGTTGTCAGAAAATCGTGTTGCGCCAAATCGAATGACCAAATAGCGAAAGAAGCACATTATTCATTAATTTGAATAAAACATACGTAGATTCTAACGAAAATTCCATAGATTTGATAACTAGAAAAGGGAATATAAGCCCGAGATATACCTGACTGCACTAAAACCGTCGAATTTGAACGCAAGACAAATTAATTTGAATGACAAACTCGCGAATTTGGCCGGGAAATCCTATATGTACTTATCATGAAATGAAATGAAATTGAGTGAAGTGTGTTGTCAACGATCTGGAGCTTTACAAATTAAAATTACCTTAACTGTCGAATACAGCTAGTTTCGATGTTCCATTAGCCTCGAGATCCTTTTACAGGTAACAAAATTAACTTCGAGATTATATATCGTGAGTTTCTTCAATAATTAATAACCAATCACCTTCCATTCTTTATGAGATCTTGCATATCCTAGAACATGTTGACAGCTTCATTTGCAAAATGAATCAATTACACGATGAAGGGAAGGACACACATTACAAATGCTGTAAGCGTCGAAATCGGCAGCCTAGCATAGCCGGGTAATGTTGGAGCGCCTTGAGGACCTTTACAAGGTCGATACGTGCGCTATATAAGAATCCAATAGTATTATTATTATTATTACGCAATATTCATACATGCATAAATCCTTCTTTTTCCCTCCTTTTTTGGTGATCCGACGTTTGATACTGCGAAAATTTCTCAGAGACATACAAATTTTGCAGTTGGGTTGCGATTCAGCTCAGAGTTAGGGTTATTGTTAGGTATTTTCTTTGCCTAGGATTGAAATTTGAATTTGATTGCTGTGGGATAGTGAATGTGAAATCCGAACATGATTTTTATAGGCAGTACAAATTGTATATTGAAATTGCCCTTGAGTTGATAATTCGTGAACAAACTGAAAACGTGTTGTGTGCTTCATGCTTCTGCAGTGTCGGTTCGTTTACAAGATGGAAATAGCAACCGAGAGGGAAGAGTGGAGGTCCTCTACAACGGCCACTGGGGCACCGTATGCGACGACGAGTTTGATTTCAACGACGCCCACGTCGTGTGTAGGATGCTTGGCTTCTCACATGCGGAATCCTTTTCCCTCAAATTCGGCGCGGGAACCGGTGAGATCGTGGTGGATGACCTGACTTGTGATGGTACAGAGGGGAGGATCCAGGATTGTCGTAAAAAGCAGCTAGGGACACACAACTGCAATCACGATGAAGACATAGGAGTCACGTGTGCTGAACGTAAGTGATGCCTAAGCCACATCAACCGAACTGAGAACAAGGGGGTGTTTCACAAAGATCTTAAGTTGAACTTATCTCTAAGTTGGACTTAACAGTTATGGAAGGCCGTTAGCGTCTTTGAAAATATTTTGTAAAAGTTTTTTTAAAAGGCATAAAATGTTGATTCAAATCATTTATATAGAACGATTCAGACTGCTCAGCACAGCTCCCTCCACAAATGTAATTAAAAAATTGTCATGATGACAAAATGGAAATCAAGGTAAAAGATTGTCATTGCTCGCCCAAAAAGAGAGATCACCATCGACTACACTGTAGATATTTTTTGTCCATAACCCGATAACACGATCATGAAGACTTTCGAAAACCAACGCAAGACATTTTCAAAAGCCCTGTTAAACAAATTGCTTCATTCGAGCACGATTTCTATGGAGCATACTGTAACGTATAAGAATCATAATACCTTGATTCGGAAAGTCTTTCCAATCTTATGGCATACTCGTGCTATTCTTTTCATGTTTCAATTAATTGTTGCTACTTTCTCTATTAGTACCTGTGCGTCTAGTCGGTTCATCAAGTCCTAACGAGGGTCGTGTCCAGCTCTATCACGAGGGCTCCTGGGGAACAATCTGCGACGACCAGTGGGACATGGAGGACGCCACGGTCGTATGCCGCATGCTTGGGTATCCTACCGCGACTGAAGCACTTTATGGTGCTCCGTTCCCGGTAAGGGGTGATGTACCTCTTGGTGATGTTCTTGTGGATCAAGTTCAGTGTAACGGCGATGAGACACACATCAGCAAGTGTGGCCACAGAGGGTTTCGTCAAGTCAGTTGTGACCACACTGAAGATGCAGGAGTGATCTGCGGCGGAAAAAGTAAGATAACAAATCCTCATATTGACCTTATTAACAATTAACTCTCGGGAGGATCCAGATTTGTGAAGTTGTAGATTCTCAAAGTAGATCCGTTTCCGAAAAACTAGAAACAAACCTTTCATATATTACAGTGCCATTTGAGTCGAAAACTTCCCGATTTTAAAGGGTGCACCCCCCCCCCCCCTTGTTTTCTTCTTCTACCACAATAGATTATTTTGATAAGAGGGATATGGTCTGTTTCGTTCCCACTTCTAAATCCACTAGGCCTCCAATCAGTGTCATCATGTTCCTTATTGCTTTTACAGGGGATTTCGGTGCTCGCCTAGCAGACGGGCCCGATGCCGCCCAGGGGCGGGTAGAATTGTTCTACTTCGGGGCATGGGGCACAGCTTGCCATCTGGAATGGACCTCGGCTGATTCTCTGGTTCTGTGCAAGATGCTGGGCTATCCGGGTGTGTTGGACACGGCTTATTTCTCTTCGTACGGTCCTGGTAGCGGGGACGTGCTCCTAAGGCAGCCTAGGTGTTCGGGTAAAGAATCGAGTCTTGCGGACTGTAACCCGGCTTATCCGCTTGGCATCACAGGATGTAACCATTCAACGGAAGTAGGGGTCACCTGCTTGAGACCGAGTAAGACATCACCATTGCATTTGCAGTACAATAAGTAGATACACAGGAGGTGGGGTCATCCCCCCCCCCCCTCCCCATCCTTGTCCTGTAGCTAAAGATTCACTGGTACCGCAATACTTCATGTATTGTCATGGAAGCTCTCTCATTGTAATATTTCAGTACGCTATCGAGGAAATGAATGGATACAATGTTGATGACCATTAGGCCTAGTGGCTATTACCGTATTCGCGTAATTTAGACGATTCGTTAAAGACCGTCAACAATACTAGGCCAGAAGGGATTAGACCACACAGCGAGGTCACTGACAGGTGACTATCCCATTAACTCAGCTCTCAACTAACATAAGAAAAAGAGGATCATGGGGGACCAACAGGCACGGATTGGGGAAGTTTTCTATATAGAGAGAGCAAGTAGCTACAAGTAGGACAGTGGGGCTTTAAGGAGCAATTACACGTCATTCTTTGGAGAAATTGTGCCTCTAAGCTCATAATTAGGATACGGATTAAAACCTTAAATCATTAGACGGTATGGAAAAAATTCATTCTTAGCTTTTTGTATGCGTAACAATAAAATGTGTGAACTATGTATTTATTTAATCATTAAGTCAGTTCATGAAAGATCCCTAGATAAGATATTTTATAGTATTATTTCTGATAGGCGTAGGCCAAACAAATCAATTAATATTTACTTGTATGGAATGTTTGATTCATTTCATCACTACAAAGACGATCTCCAAGTACGTTTGGTTGGATCGCAGTCCAGCAATGAAGGTCGGGTCGAGGTAAACTTCGAGGGTTCCTGGGGAACAGTTTGCGATGACCACTTTGATCTGAACGACGCCAACGTTGTCTGTAGAATGCTGGGGTACCAGCGGGCCTCCAACTACTCCTGCTGCGGCGCCTTTGGGGAGGGGTTCGGCGCCATTGCTCTGGATGAAGTCGATTGTAAGGGTACTGAATCCAACCTCGGCCACTGTATGAAGAATGTCCTAGGTGTGCATGATTGTACCCATCTGGAAGACGTTGGTGTTACTTGTACCGGGCAGGGTAAGACATGATCTTACTTTCCATCTTCATTTTCTTTTCTCAAGTTACGTATTTACAAACTCGATAGATATTTGTATCGGAGGTCGATGCTCAACATAATTCATTACTATTTTTTTTAAAATCTTCGAGTTACCTAGCATGGAAAACTTGATTTGATGTATAGATATACAATTTCAAACCATTTTTGATAAGGATTTATTTTATGTGTTTGTCATAAAATTCTAAGTTGATTAAAATATATTTAATTAGGATGACAAGAAATAAATAAAACATCATCAAAATATTGAATAACAGGGTGACTTTAATTTCCATGTAAACCAAGATTCTGTTCTTCTTCTTTTTAAATAAATAAAAAATGGCATATCTCGAGACAAGCATAAGCGTTTATAATTGCTATGAGGAAAATGCCATTTCAATTAATATTTCAATATTTCTCATTTGTCATACTGAAGTCGAACAAATACTTGAAATCTAATGTTAAAAAAAACTCTTTTTGTGTCTGTGCCATAATCTTCCATGCCTATGTTTTGTAATTCTTCCATCTTACAGACCCGAACGCGTTGGAGAATCGGTCATCATGGAAAACTCCACTTTCTCTTACTTTGACTTATGGTAAGGAAATGTAGAATCACCCCGTTAAAAAAAGATGCATGCATTTTACATGTATAGATATTGATAAGATTATTTGTTTAAACCGACAATGGCTTTTCTCCGATATTGTCAAGTTGTATAGAATGTTTGAAACCCAGCTGGATTATATAAATGAGTTAAACGCTTCATTAAACTTTTTTTTATTTCTTTAAAAGAGCGTCATCCAATACTTATTTCATCACGTTTGTTACGCCTATTACTTCATTTCATTATCATTATATCATTTTCATTATTAGTATAGGTTTTCCCGACCAAACTTTGCATCTTTTCCAATCCAATTCATTTTGCATGCAATTCAGATTTGAATAAGTTAATAGTTTGAATAATTTCATAAAGAAAAAGAAAACGCTCTGATGTTATAAAGCGACATGAAAAATGATTACAGGAAATTCATAATTTCCAATGCATTAGTACACAATGGTTCAACAATTATTCATACTATTTCGAGCTATGAGACGTTTAAATGGCCTATTAACAAGGATGTTGTTTGCGTAGGCACATACATTATATTCTTAAAGGTAAAGACCAGTATTGGTAACGCCCCAATTTCAAAAAATGAAATGGAAGTTCTCATTACCAATCATGTGAAAGAATATGTTTTGACTAATACATGATGATAAAAAATTTGCCGGGAAACCGCCTACTAATTCATATATTTGGTAAATTTATTTTTCTCATGGTCGTGTGAGAGAGATAGGGTAGTCCCATATACATCTTTCTGTGTATAGTGCTTGTAACTTTACGAAGAATGGGCCAAATTTCTTATCATTTTGATGATTCCAGAACCTTGCAGATGCTAGATGCTAGATGATCAACCTTTTCTGATCGATTCCACAACGTTTCTTTCACAATGCAATCGCATGACCATTACTGGTCTTTACCTTTAATTCCCTGAACATGAAACGATTTCTATTTACTTGTATACCGTTCCATCGTCGATATTAGATGCACTTTAAACACGGTCAAATTGAAGACCTTGTTAATGTTCTTCATGTTGGTCTATATTCTTATACAATGTATGTATTGAGAGAGAGAGAGAGAGAGAGAGAGAGGGGGAGAGAGAGAGAGGGAGAGAGCGAGAGAGGGAGAGAGAGAGAGAGAGAGAGAGAGAGAAACATGAAATATCTCTGCCGGTAGTGATGAATGAACGCTTTATCAAATGGACCGGATAATTGTCAGTATTACTATTATTATTATTATCATTATCGTTATGATTTTTATCATTATTTCTATTATTATTTATTATTATCACTATTATTGTTAATATTATTAAAATGAGTATTATCATCATTATAACATCATCATCATCACCATCGTCTTCATCATTTATGTTGTTAGTATCATAATCATTCCTACTCTCACTCTAAAGGTTTGATTGGAGGTCTCGGTGTCCTGTTGCTCATCATCTTTGCAGTATGTTGCTATTTGGTCAGCAAGATGAACGCTTACAGGTAAAATGCGGAAAGAACTTGAGTTGAAATGAAATTTCAGTTTTTGATTGTCATTGCTAGAACCATGATTCTTTGGGGGATGTCTCTGAAAGTTCTGACTTGCTACTATCATATTATAATGTTTCTATCTTGGTTATAAACAAACTGGAGGAAAAACATTTTTAGAACATGTTAATGGACTACAATCCCCATCCCCCCTCCCCCCTCCCCTCGAGGTTACTAGAACAAAATATACCTATTATTTTATATGATTTATAATTATGATCAATGGATAATATGTCATGTTTTATTTAATTCAATCAACATCCAAAGAAGCTCGTGAGAGTTGTTATGAAATTTGTTGTTTCCTTGTTGTGATGTTATTTATCCAGGAACCGATATCGCTTGAATAAACAGAAGAGATCATTTCAAGTGGCAACCCATTGAATTATGTAAATACTATTGTTTCAAGAATAAGAAAAACAAACAATATCAGGATGTCTAGTATCGGGTTTCATGATGAAATATGTCAATGTCAGGAAGTGATATCTTGAATTGAATTCTAAAGATCTTTTTTAAATATAGATGATCTTCCACTTAAGATTTGTCAAAATTAATCATTATCATCGGCTACAGTAGACCGATAATGGCGATGTCTCTACCTTTGACAACTGTTTGGAAGGTTCATGGATGTCGGGCTGTTGTAGTGTCCTTCAAGAATCAAGTCCCCTTGCCTATATTCCCCGGGTTCTGTTTGATTTTTCCTTTTATAGATAAATGCAAAAATATTTTTCTGATTATATTATTATAATGGGGCAAGGTGCATGGCAGTGTGGTATAGTTGGAAGCTGTGCAAATTTTGGCATCAAGAAACTAACTCTACCATACCCCATATGGACCTACAACTTGTCCACGGTCAATATCCTTTTTAAACCGACTTCTTACTTTTTAACGCTGGACAAAACAGTCTTCATGGGCCAATACGTAACCTAAAGCCCCGATTTGCAGCCGTTACTCTAACAAATAAAACGCGGAATGACTGCAGCTGAAGCAATATTTGTCAGGTCACCACTTTTGTCCTACCTCACACTGCCCGATTCCTAAACATTGTTACGAAATGTAAAATGCATTTTATACTTCGTTCGAATGTGTTCTGGCAATTAATCAAATACCTTTATTACCCATATCAACTTCCAGGTACAGATCCTTACGACTCCCTCAACGGCGCCCGCCAAGGCGTCACGTGTACACAACCAACCAATACGGGAGCTACGCGCAACCAGCCAAGGCATCTGGAGGGTTGTATCCGAGTCTTCCCACCGCAAAAGATGCATCTGTCAAAGTGCCTATCAAGGGGTCTGCCAACGGGGCTGCCAAGGGGCCTGCCAGGGGGTCCCAGAAGGGAAAACCAGAGAGCAAGGGGATCATGAAGCCAAAGGAGAAACCTGAAAAACCGTCAGTTTCTGTAGTTGTGGCTGGCGACTCCAAGAAAGGGATGCTGACTTCTCTGATGGAGAAGCTGAATTTAAGTCGCTAGTGAAAGAAACCTTAAATAGAATGGATGAAGAATGGTAAAAACTGTTTAGGTTTTGCCATGATATCAAAATATTTGATGTATTGATGTACACTCAAATTAATGATTTATGCACTCTGCAACGTTCTTTTGTCTGGATAATGCATACATTGTTTGTTTGCCTTTTTTGGGTTGTTTTTTCATTCAATATATTCGGATTGAAATTTGCATATGTAGAAGTAAAAAAAATATCAAAATATATTCTCGACTAACGTGTCTTAAACACAGGAATCCGGGCATTAATTATAGCCGGAAAGACTTTGGATATTGTAGTTTATTCTCCTTATAAAAAAGAGGTGTTAAAGATATAATTTTATCATTAAGAATAATCAGATAATAATAGCCTATGAGATTTTCTGTAGTCATAGCTGATTATTCGAATAAAGAAGTGCTGACTTTCAAAGAAATAAAAGCTTAGTTGCCAGTAGTAGAGACGTATGAAGAAAGCATAGTAGAATAGCAATAGCTGTTTAGGCTAATTAGCAATAATTATTTCAAAGGATTCATGATTTAGTTTAGTATATATATAATACACTGTAATTAAATGTAATTATGTAGTTGTACTGTTTGAAATACTTTTTTTTTCTCTGCGTACAGAGTAGTCGGATTACAATTTGTGTATGTAAAACTTGTAATATGATAACTAAAATATTGACCATCCCGTTCCAGGTCACGTCTCTGTCTTAATCATTTAATGTTCTATTTTTCTTCGCAGGCCCTTAAAAAGCAATTAAATCAATAGATGTTTATTAATTCACTTAAAATTTGTTCCTTGCAACACATTGATTGTTTTCTTATTCACCCGGATATTTCTGAAAATCAATCGCCTTCGACAGAGGGGCGTCTTGAATATGTTAAGGATGTGATCGGTGTGGGCTTTAAGTGGGCAAGTAGCGTTCTAACAGTGCACCTCTTCTTAAAAAAAGGTTTTAAAGAAATAGTTTTATCATAAAGAATAATAATCGGCCGCGTCATACCAAAAGACGTTAAAAGATGGGAGTTGTTGCTACCTTGTTTGGCGTTCAACAATAAGGGATAGACCAACGTCGATCTGGCGCTGCTCAGTGGCTGCCGGGCTCACGATCAATTGGGCAAAAAGAATTTCCGTTTCGGTTTAATAAAATTTGGAGTGGACTATTAGATTATTATTATTATTATAATAATAGCCTAAGATGTTTACTGTAGTTATTGCTGACGATGCGAATAACAAAAACAATGCTGATGTTTCTAAAGAATTAGAAGCTTAGTTGCCAGTGGTAGAGTACTAAGAAGAATGCATAGTAGAATAGCAATAGCTGTTTAGGCTAATTAGCAATAATTATTTCAAAGGATTCATGATTTAGTTAAGTATATATAATACACTGTAATTCAATGTACAGTATGTTTGAAATGGATATTGCTATAATATTTTTTTTTCTCTGCGTACAGAGTAGTCGGATTACAATTTGTGTATGTAAAACTTGTAATATGATAACTAAAATCTTGACCATCCCGTTCTAGGTCACGTCTCTGTCTTAATCATTTAATATTCTAATTTTCTTCGTAGGCCCTTAAAAGGCAATTAAATCAATAGATGGGTATTAATTGACTTTTGTTCCTTGCAACACATCGACTGTTTTCTTATTCACCCGGATATTTCTGGAAATCAATCGCCTTCGACAGAGGGGCGTCTTGAATATGTTAAGGATGAGATCGACGTGGTCTTTAAGTGGGCGAGTAGCGTTCTAACAGTGCACCTCTGCTGATGGTTCAGATCAGAAATGAACTCATAAACATACATTTCAATTGCCAAATTTACAATGTCACTCTTTCCTCATTTCTTATGGCTATATTAACAAGCACAACGCTAATGATGTCTTTATTGTCAACTCCTGATTTTTTCCTCTTTCTTCTCATTTTCTCTTTCCTCAATTCTTATGGCTATATTAACAAGCACAACGCTAATGATGTCTTTATTGTCAACTCCTGATTTAGTTTCGCTATCGTTATCATTGTACTCAGAAAGTATTGAAATGATTAATCTAGAACTGATCTCCTTTCCCTTATTTATGATGATTCTGCACGTAAAATGGATTATAAAGAGTATAATGTCCCAACTGTGTACATTCTAGGCAAATACTAAATGAAGTAGTTCTGTCTTAAGTTGTGAATTTGCATATACTTACTAAAACATTGATTTGAATTATCCAGTTTTTTTTGTGTCATATTTTGCGTACGAGTACAAAGACTATAGTCAGTCGTTAATGCCCGTTCCACAATAGGCGTCATTTCGATTGCGTTTGTATTACCTGAACTAATTAACCATCTGCATGAGGTAGGGACTATTGGCCAATAATGTGAACTGTTCCTTTTTTGCATTAATTAAGTCATTTTATCTAATATAATGACTTGAATGAATATTGAGATATATTTATAGTGAAGCAATGAGTATTTCTTTGGTAAAGAAACTAACCGAAAAACAAAAACAACATACACACACACACACAATAATGTGTGAACTGTTACTTTTTGCATTAATTAAGTCATTTTATCTAATAAAATGTCTTGAATGAATATTGAGATATATTTAAAGTGAAGCGATACGTATTTCTTGGGGAAAGAAAGTAACAAAAAACAAAACATAAACGCAAACACAAACACACACACGCACACACACACGCATTGACATACACACACATAATTTTGACCGAGAACTGTCAACCTAATCGTCACGTAACCTTTAAAAGGTGGTATAGATTTAAAAAGAATTGAATGTCCTTTAAAGGCATCGTTTAACGATGTTTAATCTGAGAAGCTAGGCCCTACGTGTTATCAGTGTCTGTGATATGGTGTAATATCGAAGCCCTAAAAAAAACTATAACAAAAAAAGCAAAATGCAAAAAAGTAAAAAAAAATTGAGTGACCGGTTTTACCATACGCGTTTTTCCCCATGTCTGTAGTGTTAACGTAAACCGTTAGAAAAACGCAAAATCTTGATAATCACACAGACGAACGGCTTGTAAAAGTCATGGGGTTCCTGACTACCCTAAATGTTTTTAATTATCATTGCAGCATGAACTAAATCCAGGATTTTGTTTCAGAATCTGAGACAAAGTTACCGGATCCCAGAGAGCGGTAAACCTGAGAACTGGATTTTCTCGAAATGACTGCCATAACATTCATAATTTGCTCCATCTCTGGTTCTCATCAACCGCGAAAACCCATTGAAACTTGTAGTGATTGTGCTTTTTATGGATCGAGAAAAACATTAGAGACATCATTTGTTATTCCAGTATCTTAATATTGCACATGGCGGCCATTTTCGGATTTCCATAAACTTCCGTACCAAAACGTATTACCTTAGGCCTAACAAAACGACATAACACTTAACCTAGTCAAAATGGAAACTAAAATGACATCGAACGGTATGTTTCATGGGTTAAGGAAACGTTTGATGGCACCATTATACTTCTTAATATCCAAATACGCACATGTAACCACTTGAATATATAATTTCCAGATGGAAAATGGAATCCTATCGAAAATTAGGGTCACTTTGCTTCCTGAGAACTAAGCCCGGATGCCATATTGAATAGGAAGTTGATTGCATCCGTCTTTCTCCCAGTTTGTCGTATTGCTTTTCCCTTCACATTGTTTTGATTGGAGTCTATTAATTGTCTCTTTTTCATTGGCATCCAACTTCGTTTACCCTCCACCCGTCCTCGTGTCTCATCTCTCTTTTCTCCCCTGCTCTCTCCAACTCCTCTCTCTCTCTCTCTCTCTCTCTCTTTCTCTCTCTCTTATATATATCTCTCTCATTCTCTCTCTCTCTCTCTCTCCATCTTTTTCGCTTCATTATCTCTCTCTCTCTCTCAATCTCTCTCCCCCTCCTTCTCCTCTCTCGTTTTTACCGGTTCTATCAAGATTTTTTTTCTTCCCCTTTTAAAACAAAATAACTTTGGTCGTCACAATCACAAGAGAAAATATTTACATTGGCTTCAAGTGTCTTCTTTTCTCTCATTACTTTCATCTGGTCTCTGGTCTCTCTCTCTCTCTCTCTCTCTCTTTCTACCCCATCCCTGTAGCCCCATCCTCTCCTCTCCAAATCTTTTTAGATTTTATCAAGATTTCAGAACAATTTGTTTTTTACACATTAGTTATAACCTTGGTCATCTCGATCACAAGAGAAATATTTACGTTGGCTTTAGGCGTCTTCTTGTCTCTCAGTAATTTCCTCTTCTCTCCATACCCTCCCCCTCTGCCTGTCTGTCTGTCTTTCTCTCTCTCTCTCTCTCTCTCTCTCCCCCTTTCTCTCTCTCTTTCTCTCTCTCTCCCACCCCTCTACTCTCAAGTTTCTATCGCTTATATCAAGATTTCTGAAGATTGGGTGTTTCACATTCTTACACTTTTAGTTATAACCTTGGTCATCACAATCACAAGAGAAAATATTGACATTGGCTTTAGGCGTCTTCTTTTCTCTCAGTACTTTCCTATGGCCTCTCTCTCTCATTCCCCTCTCTCTCTCTCTCTCTCTCTCTCTCTTTAGCCTACATTTTCTTCTTTTTCGTTACAACTAGTAGATTCTATTTTTTCATTTGGCAAATATCATGAACTAATGATCCATTTAACCATAAAATTGGGCAACGATCGGGGGGTAGGGACAAAGGGGTATATCTACCCTGATATTTTGAGAAAGTGCCAACCCCCCCCCCCCCCTCCACCTCCACCCCCCCCCCCCCAATATGAGTAGGAAATGCTTCAACTCATGTTCTACAGTTCTAGGCTCTGAAGTGTTCAAATGCAATATCTAGTGTTAGACTATATTCATAAAAGAAAAATATTCTTGCTCGGTCTCTATGCTCCCTCGCACGATATAGGGTCTATCAAAGTACAATATAAGAGTGTATTATAGAAGATATGCATACCGGAGATATTTCGTATGTTGTCATTCCCCCCCCCCCCCCCAGGCACGTAGCCACGGGAAAGGGGGGCACGGGGGGCACGTGCCCCCAAAATATTTCCAAGATCGGTTGAACTTTTCTCGACCCCTCCCAGGACGTCGATTGATTACAATTATGTGCCCCCTCAAACATCAAACTTTGGCTACGTGCCTCCCCCCCCCCCCCCCGGATAATGACAAGAAATCACGCCATTTGAATATACCTGGTTATACCTGGAACAGGAAATATTTTCAGCCGACCTATTTATGCACTCGACACGGCTCAGTAGGAAGATGCGAGTATTCTCGATGGGATCATTACTCATGCACCGGTGCGCGGCGGCTTCTAAATTATCTGCATATGCCAATAGGCCATTTTCGTAATGTAACCAAATTTAATGCATACGTCTTTGTGAAGTGCCTCAATACAAATTATTTCATTCACCTGATAAGAATAATAGTATTTCAATGGACAGAATTCGAACTGCATACATTAGTTGTTGCCAGGTAGGACAACAATTATGGCTTGACCTACCTAGCAACACTTAATATATGCAGTTTGCATTCTGACTATTGAAATACTATTATTTTTATCAGGTGAATGAAATAATTTGTATTGAGGCACTTCACGAGGACTTATGCATTAAATTCGGTTGCATTACGAAAATGGCCTATTTAGATTAAAAGAGAATGACGGAAATGACGGATTTTCTGTGTTGGTCATTGTAGCCCTACAAACAGCGAGCAAACAGCTATTATATCGAGTTAGAAAGGAATTAAAAGAACGCTTGAGTGCTCATATACACGCATTCCTGTACACAGAGTGAACAACAAGTATGTTTATTTACGACAGTGCACGACCCGGTGCACGATTATCAAGGTGTACTGTATATATCAGTGGACAAGGAGGAAGAAGGCGATCTGCAGTTCAAGCCGTCCCTGTCCGCAGCTCTCTCCGCCATTTTCTGGTCAGAACTGTGTTTTTCTAAAGGACTTAAAGTTAAACCGATATTTTAAGTGACACACGCGTGAGATGGAGTGAAATCGTCCAGGAAAGTAAATGCACGCACGCACCGCACCTATTCAGCTCGGACCGGGTCAACTTGCTTTGAAACCTGTCAAATTTTTACACTGAAAACACGTGCAAAATTGTGTAGCACGCACTGGAATAGGCGCTGCAAGTTGTAGACATTTTGAGAGCTGACGAGAGGTCTGGTAATGACTTGAACAGTTGTTGTCATCAGGAACTCCGAACTCGTGGCTTGGAAATTCGTTATTCGAACATGATTGGTACATCTGCAGTGCTCCCATGACCTTTCATGACGCTCAAATATATCCACCACAATACAAGCTGTGACTTTTCTGCAATACTTGTAGTTGAAGTTTTTTTCTAGGAAATGACGGATACTTTCCTAAATTTGTCTGCATAACAGTGTTTTCAGCTTCGCCGACGACGATCACGACTGCATCCTCAAAATTAAAAAAGACTGCCACATGCAACCTTCGTGAATACTTCGTGGTAAAGACAGGGTGGTGTGTATCTCTTATTCGCGAACTCTCTTGGTCTGCTTGAAGAGCACTTTCAGCTAGAGCCGCTTGTGAAGGAATCTGCCCTTTTAAGCGTCTACTTTACTCGTTCAAAACAAAGTTTCCAGCCACTTATACATCATCATGCTTTACGCGGCGCCGTTTGTTTTAGTGGTAGCGGTGCTAAATGCATTGCAGATGCTGGTGGAAGCGTACCCAGGCGGTCCCCCGCTCTCGGCTTGTATTAGTATGGTACCTACGGGCCATGGCGCCAGTACCCTGACGGGAACCACCCCTTTCTCGATCACGACAAATACAACCTTCTATACCGCCGGAGAAAATATCGAAGGTAAGATAATTAACAATAATTTCACTTATTCAATCATTTTCCTTGGTTTTTATTAATTCATTATTAGTAGAAGTAACATATTTTACCGCCATGAAGGAGAGAGAGAGAGAGAGAGAGAGATAGGCGTCAATTTCCTAGAAAGTCTGGAAAAAAGTTTATAAAAGGGGGGTCGAATTCCAAGCAAAGTATCTGACACGAGAACTCTATAATTACAAATGAATGGAAATTCTTGAATGGTTGTCATTACTTCCATTATTTCCATAATTTGATCAAACGAATTCGTTTCCACTGGCTGCCTGCCGTAGCAACAAACAGAGTTGACAATAGACTTAACTCCGTTTCGTTGACGATTAGCCATGCACAAAGAAGACGAAAGACTTGATGCATGGATATCGTCAACGAAAGGGATTTAAGTCTTTTGTCAACTCTGTTTGTTGCTACGGCAGGCAGCCAGTGAAAACGAATTCGTTTAATCAAATTATGGAAATGCAAGCATGAATTTAAACGAACAGAATTTTGTTATTCCTGGCTCATTTTCCTGATTGAGGTGTCATTATGAAAGAGCAGAAAATGAACTTTCTAGAAATGTGATTTTCTCTTTGAAAGTCAGATACCGCCCGCCAAATGACTATTTGGTACCCTCTCTTCATAATTGTTTTTAATCACTCATGCGTGAAATATGATGAGGTGCAACAATGAAAGAGGAGGATCTAAGCTTTACAAATATGTGTAATTTATTGATTATAATTGTGATTAAGTTATGATAAAACATCGATATTTCTCGGTTTCGTTCTTATGGGACGCATTGTACAGAGTGATTAAACCACAGAGAGCAGCGTTAATGTCTTGAATTAAAGGAGTATATTATCAATAAAAGAACGGGAATAAATCCTGGCTACCTATAGCTTCTTCTCACTTCTAAACGAATGCTACTTTGTATTATCCTTATTAATTAAAATAACCAAATATTACAAAACAAAGACAAAACCATTATGTGAGAGTCTAGAGCTTAGATCAAGATAATTCATCGGAACGCAGTCAGCCGGCTCTTCGCATCAAAGCCGCACATATGGCATCTTGGAATTCACGTTCTAATTATTGGTCGGAAGTGTTTCATAACAACTGTTCAGCACTACGACAGTTGCCTTAGTATCTGTGTTTTCATAGACAATTTTCTCACAGTGGGTGCATTTGCTTATATCAAATATTAGCAGTGGCGGATCCAGGGGGCACGAGAACTCCCTACCCTTAGCAGAACCCAATATGACATGTATTTAGTACCCCTAGAAATGACCTAAGCCCTCTGTAACAACTTAAGCTCCTGAATAAAATAACCCCTTTTCCTTGACCAGCAGAGATTCCCTCGATCATGCACTGTGCTGGACCCCTTCCCTTGCGGAATAATCCTAGTTCCGCCATTAGTTAATTAGTTAAATCATCAAGCGCCAAAAAAGGCGCTTAAAATATTTTTCTTTCTTTCTTCATATTTTCTTCCTCCTTTCTTTCTTTCTTCTCTCTTTTCCTTTCCTTCTTTCTCCCCCCCCCCCCCTCTAGTACAAAATTTCAATGAGTTTGCATTGGAGAGAAACATAAGTAATATCTCAAGTTTAGGCCATGATAGGAAATGGAACATAAAAACATTTACAATGAGGGCCCAATATGCGAAATTCTGCTCCAATTTTTGACACAAAAATAAAGCCACACAAAGTTCATGGGTCTGATTTAGTTTCACAACAACCTCATGATAACTACATAATAAAGGGACGCTATAGCCTGTTATGGATATATTGTACAGCTCCCGGAATACATACACGAATCATAATTTTGTTATGTTTCAAACAGCGATTTTTGATAAGCCTCACGACAATGGACATGAAGAGACATGGATATAGTCATCCATGCCTGATCATTTAGTAGGCCCATGGTCTGATCATGGACCTATTAGGTCCATATGGTCTGATACACCTTGAGAACAATCATTTAGAAACTTATCCGTTTAACTCGATGACTACTGAATCCTCTAATTCCCATAGGCTTAATACAGGGAATACCCGGTTCCGAAAGGCAATTGGTTAAAAGGATGCTGGTATATGAGTCGAGTCAGCATTATCTTTAACGGAAATTGTGTCATATTTGACACTGATCATGAAAAGTGCATTGAATATTAGGCTTCCTGGGAGAGGTTTCGATTGTAAAGAAATGTTTAGCTTGTTCGATCCCATTAGATCAAGGTCGCGAGCTCGATCTTGTAATAGGCCATACTCGTAATGAACCAAATTTAATGCATAGTTCTTTGTGAAGTGCCTCAATACAAGTTATTTCATTCACCTGATAAGAATAATAGTATTTCAATAGTCAGAATGCAAACTGCATATATTAAGTGTTGCTAGGTAGGCCAAGCCATAATGTTTGTCCAACCTGGCAACAACTAATGATGCAGTTCGGATTCTCTCTAGTGAAATACTATTATTCTTTTCAGGTGAATGAAATAATATGTATTGAGGCACTTCACAAAGACCTATGCATTAAATTTGGTTACATTACGAAAATGGCCAATCGAAAACAAGTCAGAAAAAAGTCTTGGAGCCAGCCCCCCCCCCCTCTCTCTCTCTCTCTCTCTCTCTCTCCCTCCCTCCCTCTCTCTCTCCTACATAACCTCGACCCCCTATTAATTAGCATAAAGAAGCATGGTTATAATTATGGTTGGGTTGTGATTTACAGTTTTTCACTAGATATCAGAGTTTAAGAAGAAAACGACATGTCTTGACCACTGTGCTTGATGTCTGTAATATTCAAATCCGTTGTCGTTTTAACGCGAATAAAAGAATAAAAACAGCCTCGAACACAAGAAATTTCAAGAAATGAAATTTCAATTCCGATGCCCTATTGTATTGTCGCTGTATTCAGAATATCATGTTTGGATTACGTAGTTGTAATGTTCTCACATTTCAATATAGGCAATGATAGGTGACGCATAAGGCTACATGATGCGTACTTGGTACTTGGTTGGGTAATCCCTCTGGCAGCTCACTCAGGAAGCTATACTGGGATGGTAGGTGAGGCGAGTAACTACAAGGAGTGTCAGGAAGTGCAGAAATGGTGTGTGGACAAAGCAATTGCCAATTTACAGTAAAATATACTGAGTCCAGTGCAAGTAAAAACCAAGCTAGTAAGCTTATACGATGTGAGAACCAACAGGGGTTTGCATCATTCTGATGGAGGGTAGGGCAGCCTCCTTGAAGTTGGTTATTCCTGTTGCATTGACTGCTGAGCCTGGCAGATGGTTCCAGATCCTTATTGCTCTTGTGTTTGTGTTGTAGGAAGTGAGTTGTAGGCAGTGAGATTTTATAAATTGCGAGGGGCAATGGCCAAGAGGTAGAATAGTGGTCACAAATTAAAACAGCTTTAATGAAAAAGTCAATATCTTTCGATGGTCCAAAAATTTGGAATTCCATTCCAATAAATATAAAAAATTGCAAAAGTCTTTAAACTTTTAAACGAAAATATAAAATGTATTTAATTGAATCTTACGTCCTATAACTCACCAGGCTCTTTACCCCCCCCCCCCCCGTTTCCCCCCATTTTTGTCATGCTTCCAATCGTACAACATTTAAGTTGCCTTTTATTATTATATTATGAGGGATGGGCTCTAGCATAAGGACCATACTCCTTTTTAGGTCCTCGCTTCACTCCCATTATGTTATTTTTTTTTTTTTTTTTGTCTGTTGGATGTATGATATTTTATGTGTGATTATTCCGTATTTAATTGTATATATTCTGTATTTTTAATGATGAGTGTAAATAAACGAACTTGAACTTGAAATAACTGAGAAATTCCGGGTTCAAACCAAGTCGACGTGCCGTAGTGCCCTTTGGCATAAATCCTCATTACCACGTCCTTTGGAGAAGACGTAAAGCCGTCGGTCCCCATGTTGCTTATTTACAAGCATACACATGCTTCCCTAGCAGTCTGGTTTAACCCCCCCCCCCCAAAAAAAAAAAAAAATAATAATAATAATAATAAATAAATAAATAAATAAAAAAAAATAAAAATAAATAAATAAAAATAAATAAAAAATAAAAAATTAATAAATAAATAAATAAATAAATAAATAAATAAATAAATAAATAAAATAAATAAATATTGACATTTCCAAAATCCTTTGCGATCGTATTCAACTCAATGTATAATTAAAGACTCACTGCCTACACAAAACCAACACACGCATCATGCCTGAGAAAGTTATGCTAGCTACATTCTTTGATAGGAAAGTATGAACTGGACAGCATAAATGTTTCGCTAAATGTCGCTCCGGCGTACCCCGTCGCGCGGTTCCTAAATCGAGTTTGTCAGAATAATTCAATTGCTGGGTGTTTATTATGATGATAATTCGTCTCAATTGATGCCCAGCTGGAATCTATGATAGGATTATCCTCAACTCCATGCAGCGGTCAAGCGCATTTGTAATGACTTGTGTATATTGTGGGGGGGGGGGGGTCTAGGGAAGAGGGAAGAGGGAAGAGATGCCGGGGTGACATCTTACAAGTCGTTGCGATTGCAACTCCGTAAAAGGAGTTTTTAAGTTAGAGATATGGGCCCTTGTAACTTTCCGATTAATCCGTTGAATACTGAATTTTCTAATTCGCATAGGCTTAATACATGGACCACCTGGAACCAGTAGGCGAAGGGTTAATTGCCTTGGGATCAGTCAGAATCCATCGCAGCTCTTTATTCATGTTACTAGACAGGGAAACTATCTAGAGAAGAAGAGCTGTAATCTAGAGAAGATGTGAGGAAATCAAAAAACATGCCAATACTAACAGTACCGGTGATAATTTAAATATGTTAGTACACAGGTCTATTACTAGGGACTTATAGATTTGCACGAAGACAGTGTTGATTGCTACGGTCGACGTCCTTTTAATGCACTGGCTTGAATGGACGTCACACGTATCAGTCCACGCAAATCTAAAAGTCCCTAATATTAGGCGGAAATAACGTATGATTAGACATTGACAATTCCAAAAATAGCCGAATGAAGATAATGAAAAAAGGGGGATTCTAGTGAGCACTGCTCATCAAACATGCATGTATGCGATGCCAGCTGATTGGGGTAGCATTCAAGTAATTTAGCCCCCAACACACAGCTATGGCGACAGTTACTCCGCAGTAATAATCACACACTAACCGATGTTTTTTTAAATATTTTTTTTAAAACTCTACCCTGGACCAAACACTATTTCTAACTATACTATAGCCCTTACCCCTGCCCAAATCTAACATAACTCCAATTTCAACGACGATATTACACCCGAAACATTGTTTGTTAATGAAACAATTATTAATGTATGAGCACCTCCTCTCCCAGCCCTCTTAACAACAACAAATGCTCATTTACATATGCCGCTAAGATGAGACAATTGAATATACATTCATTTATTTTCCTGTCTTATTAATGTTTCATGCAGTGACCATATCAGGTGCACGGTTTGTTGGGTTCTTCGTTCAAGCCCGACGACGGGACTCTGGCAGCGATACGAATACTGCAGTAGGCACCATAACACCAGGCAATACAAACATTGGCAAGACTCTTGACTGTGGCGGAGGCACTGACGTAAGTATGATTCCATAGTCCTTCCACTCTTATTTCATTTTATTCGAAGAGGCAACAAAAGCCATGATCAAACCAAAAGGGTTACATTGCAAGCAGATTGTTTTGAGACGATCCAATAACAATATTTACCATTTTTTTCACGTGATGCCTTTGTTTATTTTAATCATAACCCCATTGTGACGTTACGCGTGGAAAGGGTATAATGCTCGCAGCAATGCCGCGCGTAGCATTGTGACGTCACAATGTTACAAAGTGGGACGCTTTACGTGAACTTGCGCACGCTCAAAAATCCGGGGATTACCCTTTTTCGGAGGTGGTACTTACAAGGCGGTGTCACACAGAAAAATCCCGACCCATCTTGAATAAACCAGATTTTAGAAATCTAGTTTTTTCATTGAGTCGGTACGGAAGCGTTAAAGTGCCATTCTACTTGACGACATGACGAGATATTTCATCTTGTCAAGTCGACTTAATATACATATCATGTCGACATAAAAAGATATTTAACCTACTATGTCGACTTATCAACTTTTATTAGTCGACATGGCGAAATAAATTATCTTGCCAAGTCGACTTCACAAAAAGTTCATGTCGTCATGGCGACATAAGTTATCTTACCAAGTCGACTTCTAAAAAAATACATGTCGTCATGGCGACATATATTATCTTACCAAGTCGACTACCCAAAAAGTAATGTCGACATGGCGAAATAAATTATCTTGCCAAGTCGACTTCACAAAAAGTTCATGTCGTCATGGCGACATAAGTTATCTTGCCAAGTCAACTTCACAAAAAGTTCATGTCGTCATGTCGACATGATATGGATATTAAGTCGACTTGACAAGATGAAATATCTCGTCATGTCGTCAAGTAGAATGGCACTTTAACGCTTCCGTACCGACTCAATGAAAAAACTAGATTTCTAAAATCTGGTTTATTCAAGATGGGTCGGCCTCTGTGTGACACCGTCTGTAGTGATGGTTGTGGTGAAATGAAAAATCCCAATAAATCTTTCAGTAGGCCTATTTCAAAAGTAAATCAGGGAACAGTTCCTGTGATGATCATTTTATCTCCTGGTCAGAAAATAAATGTGGCTTGAACTTATCTAAATGGTGCCCTTTCTCCCGTCGGAACTTAAATTTTCGATCAATAGACAAAGAAATGGAGGCGATAACACTACATTTGACACTCATACAAATTTGAAAATTGACGTGACTCTATTTAATTATAAATAAATCAAATAGGCTTACAATATGCATTGTTCTAGAACAGTTTATAATTTTTAGACATGTATTAACAGAAAATGCAATATTGATTTCTGGTTCGTTAAATATTATTAAAAAAATCACAAGGAAATAATACTTTCTAATTTATCTCAGATAATAATGCTTTTTTGCATCCTTCACAGAACGCCTGGTCACACAAGACCAATGCTGCCAAAACAAGCGAATCCGCAATTTGGACAGCGCCAACTGACGACAAAGGCACGATAGCTTTTAGGTAGGTACTGTACTTGCAACAATAATCGCCCCAAGTATAAAATACAGTGACAGGCCAAGAAGTACTAGGAGCACGTCCCCCCACCCTCCTGGGCAAAATCAAATCTTGTATATGTTTTAATGTCTGAGATTACCTTTTGATATCGAGTAAAAAATGAAAGAATTAATGATATGCCCCACGCGCCTAATTTCCTGAGACCTCCACATGCATTTACCCCAAACTTTGATGACATAGTTTTCAGACTTCAATCAATTAACCAAATTTGTTAGTCAATCAATGTTATATAATATTATTACATGAGAAAAAAAGTCGCTGTCTCTATAAGTCTCAAATAAATATATAACTTTATACATCTTACACCGTTATTAATACCAAAATAATTAAATTTACATGTTTTTTTATTGATTAAAATAGCAAAATCGATTCAATGACAATATCCCCTTCATCTGTTCCTCCTCCTCCTTTTTCTTCTTCTTCTTCTTCTTCTTCTTCTTCTTCTTCTTCTTCTTCTTCTTTTTCTTCTTCTTCTCCTCCTCCTTCTCCTTCTCCTCATTCTCATTCTCCTTCTTCTTCTCCTTCTCCTTCTCCTTCTCCTTCTCCTTCTCCTTCTCCTTCTCCTTCTCCTTCTCCTTCTTTCTTCTTGATCTTCCTTTAGGGCTACTATCGTACAAGGACCAAGCAGTGATCGCTACTGGACTGGTGTCTATTCAGCTAATCTGCCCTATGGCTCCCCACCTGATGACACAGGTACGAATGGTAGCATCGCCCAATCCTGCAGGGGGGTAGTACGAAGAGCACTAGCTACTTTTTTGTTATGGTCATGGTTTTTAGGTGCGGATCCAGTGGGGGAGGGGGGGGGGTGAGTGGGCATTGGTCCCCCTGCCCCGCCCCCCCCCCCCCAAAAAAAAAAAAATGACGGGCCCCCCTCCCCCCGGCGAAAAAAAAGTTTTTAAAGGGGAAGTCCACCCTAAAATTAAGTTAGTTTTAATAGGAGTAGAAAAATGAGAGAAACAAGTCAGTGAAAGTTTGAGCAAATTCCGATTAAAAATAAGGAAGTTAGAATTTTTGAAGTTGTGATCAATCAAACACAAATTGGCAACTCTATGACGTATCATGCGAGCTCAACTTCCATTTGCTCAGTACTAAAAAAATCTAAAATTTCCATTTTCCCTCAAGAAAAATTTCAACCATACATGCACCCTAAATATAATAATTGCAAATATGTTTCTATACTCCCCCTGCAAGGAACAAATATATATTCCGTCATCAATAACGAAGAAAACATGATTTTATGGAATATTATGCACAAAGCAAATGAAGGAGAGCTCGTATAATAAGTCACAGAGTTGCCAATTTGTATTTGATTGATCACAACTTCAATGATTCATAACTTTCTTATTTTCATTCAGAATTTGCTCAAACTTTCACTAACCTGATTTTCTTATTATTCTGCCTCTATCGAAACAAACTTATTTTGGGGGTGGACTTTCCCTTTAAAAAAAATTGTGACCAGAAATTTACCTTTTTTTGGTTAAAGGGGAAGGGGGGTGGGGGGAAGAGGTGTTCAGTAAAAAAAAAAATATCGGCCGGCATGATTTTCAAATTTCAGCACACTAAATTTTTAAAATTGATATCAAATTTGGGCCTTACCCCCTGAGAAATCCTAGATCCGCGCTTGACTATCCATATTTCCCATCAATGCCATAATGTTTCAATGATATTCGACCTTCCGAGCAATATCCTTTTCATACTTAATTGGGGTGTATAGGAACATTATCAACTTTTCATTTTTATTTATGCAGGTGATATGTCGGGTCCAACAACAGATCCTACAACCGGTAGCGGACGTGAGTACAATTATTTTCTAATACAATATACAGGGGATCAATATGGGGTAGCGTATGTGGAAAAGGGGTTCGGGGTGTATATGGGTGGCACCCTTCCCCCCCCCCCCCCGGCCCCCGCTCGTTTAAAAGCCCAGAGAAAAATATTGTTGGTCTACATACTAACCCCCCCCCCCCCGAGTATCACTCTTTTGTCTCGTTCTCTCGTATTTCGTTCTCCTATTATTTTGGGAGCCCCCCCCCCCCCATGATGACTCCAGTGATGATACAGTTCTTTTGTTTATTATTATGTATGCATGACGACATGGGAATGGTAACAAGAGTAGGCCTAATTGTGTTGGTATAGTGTTTAGACATTATTATTACAGTGTAGAAATACTATTTTGTTCACCGTAGAGGGGCTCACTTTGATTCGTTGTTCCATCAATATTATTGTGGAATTTTCTTGCGGCAATTTAATGTATTCACCTTTATTTATAACCAGATTCCTTTGAAGATAAAAAATGCATTTCAATTAATCTATTATTTCTATCTCTTTCTTAAACAGATGTTGTTTATGGCTCATCACTACTTATACTTCTAGTCTCATTTACAGTCGCTGCAATGAATAATTGACTCTGACTGAACCCTACTGATTTCTCATGCATGCAGTGTCTTACTGCATATGAATTAGTTTTGCTCGATTTGGACAGTTAACGCGACGTAGAAAATACCAGCACTCAGGCGCGTACACAGGGGGTGGGGGGGGGGGGGGGGGTAACACCCCCCTTTGGTATTTGTATGTGTGTAAACCCCCCCCCCCCCCCCCAACGGATCAAAATTTCAAATTTTCAAACTTGGAGACCAAAAAAAAAAAAAAAAGTGTCCTCTTACCCGGACGGACGGGTGAACGCTTAACTTTGCCATGAAATTGATATGAGTCAGAAGTGTATCCCGGTGTGTAAGAATACTATGTCGTGAAATTCACTCTTTTCTTGTTTGAGACCACTCTAAAATAAATAGCCATTTGCATGACTCCCCGAAGAGTGAAATAGTTTTTGTTTGTTTAATCTAACAGGGAGTATGGCTAACAGTTAATTTTCTTTTAAGTGATAACAAGAATTTCTATATTATTATAGTATCCTATTTATCTACAAATTATATTTATCTTTCTACAATTTATTTCATCTTTAAATTACCAGCAAACATCTCAGATATTGGTATTCATAATTATGTTCGGCACCCCCCCCCCCCCCCCCCCATGGTAATTACAAGAAGTAAACATGTCACAGGTAAAGATATCACACACTCGGGTAAAATGTAAATGATGAAATTTGGTCACATTGTATCTGCATTGATAATGAAGGGGGGGGGCAAATTCGCCGATCTATCAAAGTTAAAGGACGCCATCTTTATTCGAGCACTACTTCCCGATTTGTTATTATTTTATTGGCTCTATAGTTCTTATTTCAGGTAAGACCTATGAGATAATGTTTTGTTAGACTAAATATCTAAGGGCATGCTCATTGATATTAATAATATATGCGACCCAAAGGCGGTTCTTTCAAAATGTTTATTTACCTTTTGTTTAATTAAACATAGCTCTGTTTGTATAAAATAGTGAAATTATGATGAAATTATAGGCCTATAAGTGCCTATAAGTGCCTACAAAGTTTGATTCTGTTAACTGCACCTGTATGCATGAAATTGTCATTTTCGCGCGTTTTCCATGCATGAATATATTAAGCGTTCAATTTACGTAAAAAGTGAAAGAAAAAACAACAACTTTGCTTGTCGTCACATAAATAATTATTGGTAAGTAGTTGACCAACATAGTTTCTCTTTTACATTTTTAGTTCATAGTGATCATGATAAGTAATGCTTATATCTATACTTGCGGCTCTGAGCCTTTAAAACAATTACCAAACAAAATACTCGTGTGAATAACATGCAATAAAATATTTTGTATGAGATTGTGAAATAAATTTATTCGATGAAATTTTGTAGTCATTCCCATGTGTTCTTATTTTTATAAAACGGGAGTAGTTTTATTTTTAGAAATGGATCGGAAGAGAAACGTTTATAGAGAAAGCAGGTAAAGAGAGAGAGATGAGCAATCATTTCCTTAAAAATGAGGGAGAGGAAAAAGAGAGAAAACGAGATATGAAATGGGGCGGGGGGGGGGGGGGTGAAGGGGTTCAAATATTATTGTTGTGTAGGCCTACAAACGCAACCAGAAAACAATTGTTAGAATGCATTTAGGGTTTACCTTGCCTGGACTTGTTGTTTTCCATACACTGTATAAATTGGACTTTTAATTTCAACAATAGTTATTTCTAGCAAGTAATATTTTTCTAGAGGTTTAAGAATTTGATTAGAGAATATGGGGGTCAAGCTTGTCTACATGGTAGATACGAGAAAATGTAAGGGGGGGGGAATACTCGAAAGTGTTCATAAATATGATCATTGATGAATAAAATGTGTTTACTATTGTTTAGAAAACCTGTGGTCACGCGTCATGAGTATACAATAATATTCTGATCCGCCCCCCCCCCGGAGAAAGAGAAAGTGGGTAGGTGAGTGAGAAAGAGAGAGAGAGAGAGAGGAGAGTAGGGTGGGGGCTAAGACTAGTGTGGGGTGAAAGGGTGAGAAGGGCTTTCAAAGTCAGAAGAAACTTGGAGGCATGCAGATTCAGGAAAGAAGAACAAAAAACTTGAAGAAAAATAATGGACGGGGGAGTTAATGTTTACCTTAGGAATCCTGGATCCAGGCGCGGATCCAGTGGGGGGGGGGGGGGGGGGGGGGGGGGGGGGGGGGGGGGGGGGGGGGGGGGGGGGGGGGGGGGGGGGGGGGGGGGGGGGGGGGGGGGGGGGGGGGGGGGGGGGGGGGGGGGGGGGGGGGGGGGGGGGGGGGGGGGGGGGGGGGGGGTGGGGGTGGGGGGGGGGGGGGGGGGGGGGGGGGGGGGGGGGGGGGGGGGCGGGGGGGGGGGGGGGGGTTCAGGGGAGGGGGGGGGGGGGGGGGGTGGGGGGGGGGGGGGGGGGGGGGGGGGGGGGGGGGGGGGGGGGGGGGGGGGGGGGGGTGGGGGGGGGGGGGGGGGGGGGGTGGGTGGGGGTAGTGACCCATTTTTTTTTTTCCTCAAAAAAATTTCAATTTGCCCCCCCCCCCCCCCCCCCCTTGAGCGCCAGGGCCCCCCCCCCCCCCCCCCCCCTGGATCCACCACTGCCTGGATCCGCCATTGCTCGTAGTCTGGGCCTAATGAGTCATGTTATTGGGACAAACAAAATATTATTATGTTGTATGATGTAGCTTGAACAACAGGGAGGAAAATCCTAGAACTTAGTTTCCCTTAAAGGCACATTGCCATACTTGTAGCTACTTGCTCCCCTCTATATAGAAAACTTCCCCAATCGGTGCCTGTTGGTCCCCCATGATCCTCTTTTTCTTATGTTAAATGAGAGCTGAGTTAATGAGATAGCCACCTGTCACGGTGACCTCGATGGCTCGCTGTGTGGTTCTAATCCCTTCTTGCCCAGTAGTGGTGACGGTCTTTAAAGTGCGCCTCGATCAAACCCGATCTTAAAAATTCAAACCAAAATGGTTCAAGGTTCTGGACGCGTCTTTTTTTAAACAGAGGCATCCTAGCGCTGCATTTTAATATTGATACTTTGCGTCCGGGTACGGTATAAGCCCGTGGGGGGGGGGGGGGGGTGTCACTCTACACGGGTGCTACCCAACCGTGTCCATCAACCTCTGAAATGGACCCTAATGGCGTATTGCACCTTTTCTGAAATGGACCCTAATTAATGGCGTATCGCACCTTTTCCGAATGACCCTGATCAAGGAGCACTAATATTTAATAAGGGAAAGTCCCTTCCAACCTTTTCACCCTTGTTCGAATTACGTCATACAACATTTATTTTGTCCCGGCTTTTCATTTCTACGTAACATTGCCGAATTCTAGAGGTCGTTCGTTGTATATCGTGTTTTAGTGCGCTCAGTTGCTTTGGTAACTCTGCCCATACAGCAAACCAAAGAACCTGGACGTGTTAATCTTTATTTCATGAAGCCTGCACTTGTCAGGAATTAGAAGAAGAAGAACCCCCTCCCCCCACCCTTCTAAAAAAAAAGAGACAAAGACAAAAAAATTTCATGATAATAAAATAGCAAGCGCTGTTAATACAAGCACGGATCGGACGGACCGAGCTTGGAAGCAGTTTTATGCAAATTCACCGCGCTTGCGGTATTATGCAAATACATGTTCAGTACACTATTTGGGCGTGGCTTGAACTACGCGCTCGCCGGTTCGGTCCTTAGTTTGCATAACCAACCAGATCCTCTGATTGGTCCAAAGTTTTCGCTAGGTCATAATCAGCGTGTGATTGGTCAGCGCAAGAAACTCATGAGCATTATCCGATCCCTTATTTGCATACCATATGTAATAAATACGAAACTTTCTCCATTGACCTCATAGTTGTCTATTCAGCTTCATCTTAACCGCAACAATGCCAAGAAGTCCGTCCAAGACTAGCCCGAGGAAGGGTAGCCCTCGCAGAGGTAGCCCTAGTCGCAAGGCTAGCCCCAAGCGTGGTGGCAAGGGAGCAAAGCGAGCTGGAAAGGGAGGTCGTCGTAGGAATGTCGTCAGGCGTCGCCGCCGTCGCCGAGAGAGCTACGGCATCTACATCTACAAAGTGCTGAAGCAGGTTCACCCCGACACTGGCATCTCCAGCCGTGGAATGTCTGTGATGAACAGCTTCGTCAATGATATCTTCGGGAGGATCGCCGGAGAGGCTTCCCGTCTGACTCGCGCCAACCGACGCAGCACGATCAGCAGCCGCGAGATCCAGACTGCTGTTCGCCTTCTCCTCCCAGGAGAACTGGCCAAGCACGCCGTGTCTGAGGGTACCAAGGCCGTGACCAAGTACACCCACCTCCCGTTAAATCCTCGGTGCAGCCATGCTGTAACAAAACCAAACGGCTCTTCTCAGAGCCACCACATTTCCAAGAAAGAACGAAAGAATAACTCTTGTGACTTGGCTTGCCCAGTCTCGACTTAGATTTAGAAGTGTCTCTTTATACGATGACGAGTAGATCTAGATCCAAGTTCTAGTATTCTAGATGGACCTCTCTCTAGGGCCCAGGGGCTGCGTGACTGTCTGAAGTTCTGTTTTTTTTTTTATGTTGAAATCTGACAAATAGAATAACGACGTCTCCACATTTTACACTCGATACAGAAAGCAATTCAACATTCTTTTGAGCCTTTAGTTTGAGTAATATTACTAGATCTAGATCTAGATCTACACATTCAATCGACTATTTCCTCCCCCCCCCCCCCTTTCTTTATTCTTCCCGATTTTGTTTCCAGTTTTGTTACTCAAAGGGGGGGGGGGGATGTTGGATGTCTTTTTTTTTCATTTTTTTTTTTTACCCCCGAGTCATCTTCTTTCTTTCTTTTTTTTTTACTCGAGGGGGGCGTGGTTGAGGGGGAAAAAACGCTGTCTGGCCCCGATTCAGAATATAGGTCTAGATCTTGAGTCTAATTGTGCAATTTTTGGGTCAAATTTGAACCACTTTAGACTAGCTATCATGGTTGATGATAGATTTAGGTCTAGATCTAGGCCTATATAGGTCTAGGCTGATGCCTTAAATTTAATCGCAACAAAATCATTTATCTTGAATAAAATTGAAATCTGGACAAGAAACTAAGATGCAATTTTTTAATTTCAATCCAGACTCCCTCGCCTTCCTTTTTGAAATATGGAGAAGAAATAAGAGGTAATCGTACTTTGCCCAATACTATTTATGTTTTTAATCAGATTTAATTTGGCAAGGATGTAATTTTTACTTTTAATTGATTTATTTCATCTTTTAATATTTGTTTTGTTCTTCTGAATCATTATTTTAAAATCTGTATTCTTCAGTGGTAATTAAGCGAGTTGGTCAAGGAGGAGATGGCCCCTACCCCACCTCTAAAAAATGATGCTTAATTACGTTTTTTATTTATGTAATTATTATTGTTTGTTTTTTTTGTCGTAATAAATGTGTATCAAATATGTTTCCATTGGACCAGAATAAATGAATGAAATACTAGATCTATAGGTCTAGAAGGTCTAGATTCTAGACTTCTTTATGTTCTGTTGCTTCCTCAGGAATAATACAAAGTCAGAAAATAATTATTTGAAGTCTTGTACTCTAAACTCTTTATGTATAAAATGATGACTATAATTCTAGATCCTTCCTGTGAACATTCCCCCCCGCCCCCACTCCTATACCTTTTTTAAAATTGATATTGTGAGAGATGTGTACCAAATATGGAAAAAATACTTTAAATTTAGGGGGCTACTATATATTAAGTAGCAATAAAATAATAAAATAACACTCTTTAATTTATTTAGCATTGAACTCTGCAAATATTGGGGGCTCTTTTGGCATTTCGGGGGCTAATTCGCCCCGAGCCCCCGTTGTATTTTTTTCACTGACCTACATGTTAAAAAAAAAGTATGACAAAACACAACTGAAACACAAAATGTCTATGATTGAAAGGTAATGTTATTATTGATAAATGTTTATTAAGTGACAATAAAATTTGCGCAAAATTTAGAATGAAAAAAACAAACAATTGTTTGCTAGCGTTTTTACTGCATTTTACACAGGTACGATGTATGCGCATGGAACCATGGTCATATTTCAGTGACATTTCAATTCCCCCCCCCCCCCCCCCCCAAAAAAGTCATTCCTCTCCTCACCAATTGTATCCCCTTTTGTACTGGGATAAAAGAACAGCTATACATTTCAATGTACTCCACCTCTCGAATGATAAATGTCTGTCTACTCTTTGTATGTTGGTTCCTTCCCCCCCCCCCCCCCCCCTCTCCCTACATGTCAGCGTTTTTCCAGTTAAACATTTTTTGCTGCACCTATCAAAATTACTTACATGATAAACACAATGTGACCTATAGGACAATTATACAAAACGTGCTTGTATCAAGATAACATTAGTTTTTTCTATCTTTAACACACTAATCCCATATCCATTGCCATTATATTAGAGTAGCTCTGTCAAAGTTATTGAAAATCTATAAACAATTTCAAACGGTCGGTTTATCACTTCAAAATGATGATTTGACAAAAACACAAGCCGAATCTATTCAACATCATTGAGCCATGTATATTGCAACTAAATGTAGACTATATCGCTAGTAAAAAAAAGCCCTTTTAGATATTTCTTACATAAAGTACATGCAACAACACTTGTTATTGTTTGATTATAGATGTCCAGGTGACATTTTAAAGTACAAATCACTTAATTTCATCTGCGGTGCAATGTGAAATACATGTATGTGCTGCTTGTCGTTACTGTGCAGAGGAATTTTAGATGGTACACAGATCTAAAAAGAATATTCCATATACAGTATATGAGAAGAGATTTTTATAGGAACAATTAATAATCACACAGCAATATAATCAGTAAAGTATGAGTACCAATATCATAATACCTTTTTGATGTACACAATATTTTGACTCCATAGGCAAACTAAGTACTTATTACCCTAATTTCCTGTAAAAAGCATATCACCCTTGTAAAAAACAGCTACCAATATCAGAAAAAAAATTGTGAAGACAAGGAATACATATCAAAGACATATCATATAACTCTTAAACAATAAATTACAAATAATATATAAATCAATTTATAGGTCTAATCAAGTGTCTGAATAGAAGTTGAAACTCTTACTAAAATCATGCATTTGTAGGCTTCAGACCTTTATATTGGATTTAATCAGTTTCAAAATCTGTTTTATGGTGATACTCTTACACATGTGACAATTCCATTGATTTCGAGAAGAAAAAAATCCTGTGATTGAAAATGAAGTCAAATACCCTTTTTTTTTTTCCTTAATCAATCATTTATTTTGTACCATAGCAGTATCAACACAATTGTTTTCCAAATGCACTTCAAGCATGAACTCAAATTTTGTTATCTTCTTCGAGCAACTTAGCTCTCTGTTTTCATTAATTAGACATTCCCCCCCCCCCCCCCCCCACTCTGAAAAAAGAGGGTACAGTTTCAACTTCTATTCAGAAAATGCAAGTTTCACCCTTTTACATATAATTAGAATGACATCTTAGCAACATCTACTCTCGCTATACAATCCGAGTAATATACAGTTGTTAGGCATTTGTTACATATTTATTATTAGTTTCACAGCTGAATCTGTTTGCAATTTGCAGTTTCCTACCAGCTAAAGCCTTTCTTTTGTTGGTGTGTTTTTGCATTTGTTTTATTATTACATTGATTTCATGCATGAAAACCTGCTTTAACATGGGATGAAAGATAATCATTATTTTCCCCCAATTTTTCTTTATTCTTATCAGACATGATTAATTTGATTATAATTTTTTAGACATTAGTATCCTATTTTTCGCCAAATATGAAAGATTTCCTTGGATTCTTTCTTTTTTTTTACTTTTTTCATATTTTTTTTTACTACATCAAGAGCTTGATTGTTGCCAGTGGTAGGTGTTGTTGCTCTAGTGGTAGGTGTGGTTGCTCTAATGGTAGGTGTGGTTGCTCTAGTGGTAGGTGTTGTTGATGTTGCCTATTCCTGGTAGGCTGGTGGTGGTGGAGGCTTGTCTATCTTTATTTTGATTGCTTCGTCATAAGATGGAAGGAGTGCCTGGAAATTGAAAATGAAAAGCAAATTATTGAATCGTATTCCCCCTATTTTCATCATTTACGATCACAAGTGTATATATGCAAGGCGATGCTTATTTGAGAAAAAAAATACTAATATATTTTCTTCTTCACTAATTAACTGCAATTTTTGATTTTACAATGAAATGCATTTTCTAGTTGACATATTGGCATCCACTACTATATCCTGAAGAAATAATTCATAGCCAAATGAAACATCAGGGACCCGTTTAACAAAGCATTTTTTCAATGACAAATGAAAAAAATCACTTACAAATCGGCTGGTAACCAATCAGAAGCAAGGATTTCAGTAGCTTATCACAAACACTGTCATATGTCACCGATGACAAGTTTTGTGAAACGTCCCCCCCCCCCCCCAAAAGGTTTCTTGCACGTCTGAATATCAATTTACAAGTATGACCGACCATATTACCAGTTTGTTTTTCTTCTAATTCTAATTCAAATTTCAGTGGTTCAATTTCGTGGCAGAATGGCATCTTTTATCAAGGGGCAGAAAGATGATTGATTTTCCCAATTTTAATCCACATGAATAATTCTACATTACGAAAGTTTGAAAGATATTTACCTCTGTGTCAGGACACTGACCAATTTCCTTCAGCTCCATACTTGCAGTGTGTTTGTAGCAGGCCCAGATACATGCAATGCAGTAGAACTACATACAGGAAGATTTAGTACAGTTGGAGAGAGAAAGAGAGAGAGGGGAAGACAGACAGAGACGGAAAGACAGACAGAGAGAGAGATAAAGAGAGAGAGGCAAGGAGAGAGAGATACAGAGAGACATGGAGAGACAGAGAGAGAGAGAGGCAAGGAGAGGCAGAGAGAGAGAGACAGAGATACAGAGAGACATAGAGAGAGAGAGAGAGAGAGAGAGAGGCAAGGAGAGACAGAGAGAGGCAAGGAGAGACGGAGAGATATAGAGAGACACGGAGAGACAGAGAGAGAGAGAGAGAGAGAGGGAGAGACACAAACATAAAATCAATTCAGGTTAAATGAAATATCAATATGATAAGGTTGGACAGGGCAAGGCCATAACCATTTATTCATTGATCTGGACCCTGTACATTCGGATACTGTACTACTGTGCATGTACCTTGTTCATGTACATTGTACATCAATATCAGGAGTGGATAATGTCATTGTCATTATGTACATCATTGCATCATAATTGGGCAATAATCTTGGACTTGTACCAGTTAATGGCCATTTTGATGGTCATTTATGAATCTAGAATGAAAAAAGCTGATTTTATGATCAGATTGCATACAGTAATTACTGGCAATGAGTGAACATCACCAAAAATCTATTATTAAAAAAGGTGATCATCCTTCTGTCATGCCAAACTGCTTTGACAAATTCTTTTACATTCTGGCACAGTATAACTGCTTTATTCATATATTCACACATATTCATAAAACTACCCGGTACTCAAATTTACTACAATGTGACTATGCAGTATACAGTATGGTTTCAATGGGTGCATCAAACAGCCACAATAGCATTTCCCATTCATAAGCACTAGATCTATGCAGTCTGATGATCTGATAATTAAATTACTAACTTCCTGTCACTCAAATTTATGTCAGGATTTAAGTGCCATTATATTAAAAACTGATGTCAGTACCCCCTTGCATTCCTCATTAAGGAATTACAAATACATTGTGAATGTAGTATGGCAATATCGTCTGCTGACAGCAAACAGGGCAGTAATATCATTTTGAGAGTCAGGGGCAAATATGTTGCCTTGTACATGACATGGTTTTTACTTTTTAGCATAATATCAGCCTCTAGTGACATTAAATCAGAAGAATTTTAAAAAAAAATTAGAAAACAATTGGTCAGCGATTCACTATAAATCACTATGAAGTGGTGAAAATCGATCATCTTTTTAGAGGCAGAAATGAAGGAGAAAAAAAATTGAGTATTTTGGGGACTTGATCAAAAATTAAGCTCATTATACATTTGTAAATTTAGTCTGAGAGGTTAAGCTCATTAACTCCTAATAAATATGGTTTAGTGACACAGTGAGCTTAAACAATATCTTGCTGTGCCTATATATTTTTTTTATTTTTTTTTTAATGAAAAGAATACACCTTCTTGAGTTCTCGTTTTACACAATATGTCATGATCTCTCAAATTACAACTTTCGACATAGTGAGAGATAAATACATGGATAGCCACAATGGTATCTCTAGCAAAACTGTCCCCCAAAGAAATAAGATTGCAATGATTAAATCTCTGAGCAAAAACAATTTAGAGAAATGTGCATGGCTTTAATCAGAAAATCTAGATTATAAAATAAGATTAAACATACACATGTAGGTCAAATTCAATAGTCCTGTACAAAATATCAGCTGCCACATCTTATTTGTTTTCATTAATGAAAAGGGATAATTATATTCTCTCGACCTTCCCTAAATAAGATAGATGACGGTTCAAATACTTACTTTACACAGGCTTCACACATAACTAGAATGTTTGCTGGCAGTACATAACAGATCAAAGTGATTAGCCTGTATAAATAATTGTTAGAACAACTGAACAAAATGTCTATTTCCATGTAATCTGCTAATATTAAAGGGATTGTTTAACAATATTAAATCCGAGATGCACGGCCCTACATGATATCAGTGTCTGTGATATGGTGTAATATTGAAGCCCTAAAAAATTGCGCTTCAAACTGATCGAGAAGTGCCTCAATAAAGTGAAAACCTTAGAGTGACCGGTTTTACCATGCTTGTTTTTCCCCAATAGACAGTAGTGCTATGAAAACTGTTTGGCAAACGCAAAATTTGATTTCGATTTTCAATCATAAATATCTTGGTAATCAGACATCAGGCGATCGGCTTGTAAAAGTCATGGGGTCCCTGATTGACCTAAAGGTTTATACATGTAATTATCATTGCAGCATGAGCTAAATCAAGGATTTTTTAAAAAGGATCTAAGACAAAGTTACCGGATCCCTTCTGAACTAGAATATATTTCCCTGTGGTCTTACACATTATCATATTTTCATTTACCTACATGTAAACTGTCTTATGAATATTCTAATAATGGATGCTCACCTTAAATAACATAATCCCCAGGAATAGTGCCAGAGCGATGAATGTAAAGACGGGTGATTCAATGTCATACTTGCTGACGGGTAGGTTCTCCTTCCAGTGCATGAATTCCTGTAGTCAAATATAAAGATGAAAGGCAAGCTGAAATGTTAGAACTTGAAAAGGTACCATAATTTAACTAAAGTGATAGTTACATGTAACATAAAATGCCGCAAATTCAAGGTGTTTATAAAAGCAGCAAGATAAGTACCATAACCTACTGAAGTGCAATTTACATTGTATCTCCAAGAAATATTTTGGCATATCTACTGTACATCACCTCTTTTTATTTTTTTCTACATGTATTTAAATACAGAAGAGTAAATTATTAGGATTAGTTTGTGTGGAAACAATACACAATCATTTTTCTCCCAATTTTTTTTTTTTTTTTTTTTGGGGGGGGGTATTATACTGAAAAATTTTCATGCATAATGTGATGAAAGAAAGGACTTTCAAAATAAGTACCCTCCATTCCTAATTTCCTACTTTCTAAATACATGTAGTATAAAGGGATTCAGTGTGACAACATCAAGATCAAAAGAAAACTGTGCTCTTAAAAAAAAATCAATTCAGATTTTATATCATTCCTACATGTAAGTTCCTCTTATATTATTGGATCAGTAAAATATATGTATGTGATGTATAAGAATAAGCAAACTGCTATTCCCAACAACAATAAATAACAGTAATTTCTTGCTTCCTATTTTTTAAGGTCCTATAGATGTAGGAAGCATAGTAGAGTCGATCATATTTGCAAAATGAATAAAAATGAACATAAAAAAAAAAGACTTTTTTCAACTGACATCTCACTCTCATGTTTGCTTTGGTTAAAGCCCATCTGTACTAGTTTGGCCAGGGGGGATTAGACCTCCTTGCAAGGTCACTGACAGGTGGTTATCTCATCAAATCAGCTCTCAATTTACATAAGAAAAAGGGGATCATGGGGGACCAACAGGCACCGATTAGGCAATGTTTGCTATGTAGAGGGCGCAAATAGCTATAAGTAGTGCAGTGGGGTTTTAAGTTTGGTACTTGCCTGGTTGTAGGGGAACTTGGGGCTATCCTCGTAGTCAAAGTCTGGGTAGTAGGACATGACTCCGATGCAGGTGAGGAACGTGATGAAGAAATCAAAGAGCTGGAGGCAGAAGAATGGGAGGATGTAACCGGACCGGTACTGGATGATGCCCTTCATCATCATGGTGGTGATGAGGAGGAAACAGAAGACAATGACCAGGCCAACACAGTAGTCGGCTGAAGACAGAGTCAAAGTGAAAAATGAAAATCGTAAGACGTGTGAATCACTGAGTTGGTTGTGGAAATTTGTTAAAATGTGGAAATTTAACTTTTAAGTTTACATTTACATGTACATGCACACGTATGATGCAGTACATGTGTAGTTTGTGTACATGTACATGTTATGTACCACCACCCCCCCCCCCCCCCCCCCAACAACAAAAAAACAAACAATGAAGCAAAATATGACAACATTGAAGAAGGAGGCACTCGATATATATTTCTGTGTCTGGTAACACTTCATGAGAAGTGAGAATGGTTTGGGATCTGGATCGTTTGCAGCGACAAATTTTTCTTCCAATATTTATATAATCCAATAGATAACATGACAGAGCTTAACATTAGAAAGTGCCTGTATTATGAATGACATGAATCTTTGCAATAACATAACAAAAGCACAAGAAATTAAAGTAATAATAAAAAATAAGCCACTTCATATACCATGTATAGAGGCCTGGTGAAGGGGGGGGTGGGTACAAGAGTTCAAGGTGCTATTCCCATTACACTTCATCTTCCAAACCCCACCAATCCTCCCATGTACTTTGCTTCATCTATAAATGACATTTTTTTTTGTAACCACTTGTTTACCGGTAAGTACAAATAGTGGTGTACCGGGTACATTCCTGTCTGATCTACATAATTGCTCTGTGTTCGGTGAAAATGGAAAGAATTACATGTACACTGCACAAGTAAACACTTTGTGATGAACATCTGTTGGTACTTCTGGGATTGATTTTCATGCACCCTTGAGTTGGTTGAAGCACAGGTGTTGCTATTTGTTTGGTAATATAATGATACAATCAAAATACAACTCTGTACATGTTCATGTACATGTAGTCAACCTAAACTACCGGTACAGCAATTCATTTTGGGCAGGCAAGGCCAAATACCTGCCAATGTACTTGTACATGTAGATCCACGTGTTGCAGATGAACAATATTAATTTCTCCTTTCTCTTCACTTCTTCAGTAACCATTTTTGAAAGGTATAGGCTAACAAAATACTTCTTCAGGTTTTTTAAAAGAGATGGCAAAACAAAGGGTTTTTTTTAATGACTCATATCAGCCGTTTTTAATACATGTCTTATGTTCCCCCTTTTGGCAGCCCAGGCCCCAGGGTAAATCAGCTACTCAGAATATAATTCAGATTAAAACCATCTCTATGAATTAGGACCAATGTATTTCCCCGGTACATCATCCGTACATGTAACTCACATGCATCATGCTGACTGTTAAGACTGAGTGGCGTTTGTGGTGGGTCCTGTTCATCCAAGTCGATGTTCATTGCGTTGTCGCCTCCCCTCATGATCATGGATGCGATCAGGAGCATGGCGAACATTTGACCCATCTGGTGAGAGTTGAAGAAGAGAGAATTAATTAATTAAAATCATATCACTAATATTCATGCTAAATTATAATTGACATTAATGAAGAATAATAATTGTAAATGGGGGAAGGAGAAAGTTAGGAATAGAGTAAACGACACATAGATCTGCATGTACACTGTACATGTAAGTACCGTGTAACTGTAAGAGTAAGAGGTCTTGAATAACAATAACAATTGGAACCAGCTTAAAGATAAAGACCAGTTATGGTCATGCGATTGCATTGTGAAAGAAACAGTGTGGAATCGATCAGAAAAGGTTGACCATCTAGCATACTGCAAGGTTCTGGAATCATCAAAATGATAAGAGATTTGGTCCAGTCTTCGTAAAGTTACAAGCACTGTACACAGAAAGATGTATATGGGACTACGCACACGTGCGCGACACATGCATTTATCTCTCACACACCAATAGATAAACTAATTTACCAAATATATCAATTACTAGGCGGTTTCCCGGCAAATTTGTTATCATAACATGTATTAGTCAAAACATATTCTTTCACATGATTGGTAATAAAGAGCTTCCATTTCATTTTTTGAAATTGGGGCATTTCCAATACTGGTCTTTACAGTGTAGACTACCTTTATTATATTGCCCACACTGGCACACTCACCCTGTTAAATTCAAAATAACCTTGACGCCCCCCCCCCCCCCAATCTACAATTAATCCACCCTAAAGTGACCCTATCCGCACCTCCAGGTAAAACTCAGATGACTATTTTGGAGGACCAACAGACAAAGTACCAAGTACCAAAAAGTACACCTTCTTCTTCTTAGTTGATCCCTCCACTGTTTTGGAGATTCCTGGAGTCCAAATAAAGTAAATGTTTTATAATCCGACCGTTAGGAGCTTTGGAGAGTCTTAGAACGAGAAGCATCAATTTTGTGTAGGAAAAAGAGCGATAGTAGAAGTAAGTTATTATGAATTTCGGAAGGCAAGCATGGATGCGGGGGTAACAGAGTAGCAGGAGTAAATTGCTGTGGGTCATCAACAACATATAGGTTTAGACAGATGGGATAATCCACGAGGCATTCCTTGACTTTGCTGATGAAATCCTGACGGAGATGAGCCAGGCATGAGCAGACTCCAACAAAGTGCTCCACTGTCTCATCGTTGGTTTTACAAAGGGGGCATGTAGAGATAGGCGATTTCTTAAGCGTGAAAAGACGGCATTGTGTCAAGTAAGGTGCATGTGAGTAATTGGGCTCTCACTATAATGTATAAGAGCTCTTCGGATGGGAGGAGATGATGCAATCTTTGGATATAGGAGATTTGCAGAGGGTAGAGTGATATTTATCCAAAACTTGAGAGAGGACTTAGAGTGGATTCCTTGTAGAGTATTGTGTTTTACCACCAGGATGACTTTGTAGTTGATCATCCTTTTCCATGTTGAGTAGAGGGGTGGGTTCGAGACGAGGCTTTGGAGGTCTGGAAGATCATACTTCCTCAATGCCTCTTGAAGGACCAGTATTGAGGGTGTATGCGTTTTTGAGGGCATCTAGGAATGTTCTGAATTCAAAACGGCTGTGATCAAGCTTGATGAGTTGACCTAAAAGCAAGAGCCTACCAAGATCAATTTGCACTGAGACTGGCAAGAGGTTGGTGAGCAGGTAGACAATCTCATCAGCAGCAGACTTCGGCACCCCTAATATCTGTTTGGCAGTAGGCAGTACCGCACACAAAATTCAAAATCCACTTTAAATGGTCCGGAGTCTCACTTCTTATAATCATAACGAATGGTCGAACTTCAGGACTATCATAAAATTATCAAAATGTCATGCCTAAATAAATTCATAATCATATTCATGTCGATGGGATTGTTCTTGTGAACTGGTTATTGGTTGGCAACTTGGCATTCCGTCATTTCCAAACATTAATCACAGTTCACATGCGCCCCTCCCTCCCTCCCTCCCTCCCTCCTCCCTCCCTCCCTCCCTCCCTCCCTCCCTCCCTCCCTCCCTCTCCCTCTCTCCCTCTCCCTCTCTCTCTCTCTCTCTCTCTCCTCTCTCTCTCTCTCTCTCTCTACGTATGCAACATGGATAATGCCAAAATATTTGTGAACAAATTAGCAGTGAAATACTTGTATATATCAGTAGCTCCACGTGAAATAAATGTTATTCTCTTCAGCACATCTTTTCAATAAAATAAAGGTTCATCATATCTAGGTCTAGACAATAGACCCTATTATATATTGTCTTTGATGTGAAATGAACTTACCAAGTGCCATAATCCGATGAGTATAGATCCCGTTCTCACGTCCAAACATAAACAACATGCCGGAGCACTCGGTGTTCCCCACCTTGTTCTCATGATTATTGCTCAAAAGTCACGTCACAAGCAAGGAAATGGCCTACACCATCTAGAAATACAGAATTTCTAGATCGAACGGTATATAAAATACTAAATAAACGATCACAAACTAATGATAATTTTAACTGGAAACCACTGGAAATGTACGGGGTACGGTTATCACAATGATAATTTCCGCAATAAAGTTGTGTATGTAAAATACGTACACGTTCTGTAATTATACGCATGTTATTATACATGTACTGTACTGTATGTTGTTGTCATTGAGGAAGTAGTCCCGCGCGCTGCGGAGATTTTCTAAATCGGCAGCTCGATGAAGAAACCATATTCATGCGCTGAGCATAATGTAACGCCAGTGCAATAGAGGGGGAATGATCGAATATTATCCCGTACTTTTTATCCATTCCTGTTGCCTTTGCTTGAAAGTGATGATAAACCTCTTCTACCAGTGAAATACATTGATGATAGTGATGATAATGATCATGTTTGAATGAAGGGGGGAAAGGCAGGCGCGGATCCAGGATTTCTTAGGGGAGGGGGCCCA